CATGATGCGAATCTCCCGTTCCACCATCCCAAAGATGCTCTATTGGATTGAGATCTGGTGACTGTGGAGGCCATTTGAGTACAGCGAACTCATTGTCATGTTCAAGAAACCAGTCTGAGATGATTCCAGCTTTATGACATGGCGCATTATCCTGCTGAAAGTAGCCATCAGAAGTTGGGTACATTGTGGTCATAAAGGGATGGACATGGTCAGAAACAATACTCAGGTAGGCTGTGGCGTTGCAACGATTGGGGCCCAAAGAGTGCCAAGAAAATATTCCCCACACCATGACACCACCACCACCAGCCTGAACCGTTGATACAAGGCAGGATGGATCCATGCTTTCATGTTGTAGACGCCAAATTCTGACCCTACCATCCGAATGTCGCAGCAGAAATCGAGACTCATCAGACCAGGCTACGTTTTTCCAATCTTCTATTGTCCAATTTCGATGAGCTTGTGCAAATTGTAGCCTCAGTTTCCTGTTCTTAGCTGAAAGGAGTGGCACCCGGTGTGGTCTTCTGCTGCTGTAGCCCATCTGCCTCAAAGTTCGACGTACTGTGCGTTCAGAGATGCTCTTCTGCCCACCTTGGTTGTAACGGGTGGTTATTTGAGTCACTGTTGCCCTTCTATCAGCTTGAACCAGTCTGGCCATTCTCCTCTGACCTCTGGCATCAACAAGGCATTTCCGCCCACAGAACTGCTGCTCACTAGATGTTTTTTCTTTTTCGGACCATTCTCTGTAAACCCTAGAGATGGTTGTGTGTGAAAATCCCAGTAGATTAGCAGTTTCTGAAATACTCAGACCAGCCCTTCTGGCACCAACAATCATGCCACGTTCAAAGTCACTCAAATCACCTTTCTTCCCCATACTGATGCTCGGTTTGAACTGCAGGAGATTGTCTACATGCCTAAATGCACTGAGTTGCCGCCATGTGATTGGCTGCTTAGAAATTAAGTGTTAACGAGCAGTTGGACAGGTGTACCTAATAAAGTGGCCAGTGAGTGTATATATATATATATATATATATGTGTGTGTGTGTGTGTGTGTGTGTGTGTGTGTGTGTGTTACTCAATAGAGATATAACACTGTTATATGTTTTTGATATAAGATTTGGATACCTGTGATTGTGTATGTAAATGTAATAATTATGTAAATTATGAAAAAGTTTAAGTTAAAAAGGTTTTAAAAAATGAAATATTCAAAAAAAACAAAACAAAGAAAAGTAAAATAATAATAGAATTATGAGGCATTGTAAAGGCTGAAATAAACTCAATGTTAAGAGGTGTTGAAGTAGAGAGAATGCTGGAGCTTTGCAAGCACAGTTTGACCATCACAGCAATCAGCTCTCAGCTGTGTGTTAATGACAGGGCCACTCATTATAGCCTATTACAAGAGCACACTGAAAAACACAACACAAACACTGTACAGCTGAATGAGAACAGTATGAGAGCAAACTCTGCTCATCTCAACAGATTGCTGAAATAAAGGGGAAATTAGGTTCAAATGAGATTTGGCTTATAATGTTAAAATGCTAGATTGATCTGAAAGCTTTTAATTTCATCTCCATTTATCACCTGGAATCGGATCTATAATGCCTTACATGCAAGATGCAGTCAAGAACAAACAGTGCTTAGGTCTGCTAGATTTTAAGTAAGTTTAATTTCTTCAGATTTGTCTTTAATATGTGAATGTGAGTTCAGTGCACAGTGATTGTTTATCCTTCAGTAAAAAGAGGTCAGGTTTCTGATGATTGAGGTCATGGTCATATTTCAGAGGGTATGAACTGCAAGGTCTTAGAAATGCTACTTGAAACTCTCAATTTTCTTAGAACAAAATAGGGAGTAGTTCATCCTTTTTCACAACAAATGATCTGTGAAATCAGGTGCATCATCTTCAGAAAGCCCAGGAGGACAAATTTTATTTGAACTGTTTTGTTTTCTATTCCATTTAGGACACCGTCTAAACATAGCTTTTCTAAAACCTTAATGCCAAGTTCATTTTTATGTTAGATATTAAATATGTTAGAAAACTTTGATTTATAAGACGCATGTCTCATGACAAAAAAACAATAACAAAAAAAGACTAATTGCACCACATTCATGCAGTGACATGAAATTTTAATCACAGAAAAAAAAGTATATAATATTAAATCATTTGATTTTAAACACCAATTCTGTTGAATAAAGTATTCAAGACATACACAAAATCTATCATATTAAATATAACTTTATATATATATATATATAGACCATTTCACAAGATGTAAACAACACTAGTCCAGAAGCACTTCCTGTTTCAGTTTGTAACGGTTTTCTTTATTTCACATGTAAATAAAGATGTTTGTTTAACTTTTTGATTCAGTTTTAAATGTTCTGTTGGTTGTATTTTATCCCAGCTTTTATGTAGTGTTAAAAAACTGAAACAGGAAGTGCTTCTGGACCAGTGTTGTTTACATCTTGTGAAATGGTCTATATATATATATATATATATATATATTAATGAAGTTTAACATGATCATTTTTCATAAATATTGACAGTTTTACAATCAGTCGCTTCAACTCGAGACCAGTGATTTAGACAATGCTGCTGTGGTAAGTGCCATTCTTTAAACTAGGGCTTTTGCAAAAAACAGGAAACGGTGGTTTCTGTTGAACAGGTGAGAAAAAAAAAACTAGGGGAGGAAACAACAAGAGTGGTTTTAAACATTCAAAAATAAATTTATGGATGCAAAAAAATACTATTTACAGAAGCCGATCTCAAACAGGCCAGAACAGCAGATAATGTGCCTCCATCTGCTCCATGGCTTATTTATAAATCTCTAATAACAGGCTTGACTGTTTAAATGCTTAATTGCACGCTGAACGTAGATCCCTGCCATTACAATGACAAGAGGGACAAATCCGTTATTGTTAAAGCTACAGAAATGTTCAACGATCTTGGTGTTAAAACAGAGGCTGTCTTCAGATGGATAGTGGAGGCCACAGCTGTAATTACTCTACATGATAAGGTCACTCTCAGAGACCAATGATGAACACAAGTGGCTTGTTGGAGATACATGACTCGGATTTAAATAACGTTACAGCAAATGTTATGAATGTGGTTTATTTACATGACGAACAGTTTGCGCGTATAATCGGAGCAAACTAATTAGTCAGAAAATATACCCAGTACAATTAGAAGATACATTTCCTAAAAAATAAAATAAAAAACATTTCTAGGACATCACTTAACAATTTCCATTTCCAGGCTTCATAGTAATACTTACAGAAAGTCTCGCCACTATTAAAAATAAAGGTTGCTTATTGATATTGATGGTTCCATGTAGAAAGTTTAACGTTCATGGAACCTTTCCATTCCACAGAAGGTTCTTTATAGTGGACAAAAGGTTCTTTAGATTTTTTAAAATGTTCTTCACACTGAGAAATAGATTTTCACGCTTTAAGGATGTTCACGCTTGGCTTGTTTGGTTCGGACCAAAAAAAAACCCAACAACCCTGAAAGATTTAGTTTGGGTCCATTTAGCGTTCACATTAGCATTTTAACACCGAACCTAAGCTCTATGCTTCCTCTTCCCCCACCAGTAAATTATTGGAAAAAGTTGGACTCCTTACTAATTAAATTTATTTGGAATGGAAAGCATCCCTGCATAAAGTGGCCTACACTTCAAAAAAGTAAAATAATAAGGTGGAATGGGCTGCCCTAGTTTTAAATGGTACCACTGGTCTTTTATCCTGCTCTCAGTTTTGATTTGGTTTGATTCAACCTCACAGTCTTCATGGAAACAAATAGAAAAAGAGCGCATTTTACCAATTCGTTTGCAAGATTTTTTATTTTCAGGCCTTTCTCACAGGAAATGCTCATTATATTATGGTCCTATAATTTTCTTCAAATTTTCAAAAAGATTGAAGCCTGTTTTGCATCAAAAACTTTATGGCATACTCATACTCCAATTTGGCACAATCTGAACTTACTTTCTGGCGGTCAACCTTTCATACAGCCTTCCTGGTCTACAAAAGGTATTCTGACGTTAAACGACATAAACATGTTGTCAACTTTTTTCAAAATAAATAAAAACACTAAATTACAGAAGAAAAAAAAAAACACAGAACCTAAAGGCATGACTGACTGGGCGGCTTTTATTTTGCGTCTGAACATTAAAAACAATGCTGTGTTCTGGGATAAATGTGCTCGTTGTATGTGCGTAGCTACATATGATAGTATTTTGAGCAGCTGATGACTCGTGAAGAACTAATAAAATGTGTAAAGGACTAAAAGCAGAGTCAGGAATCACACCAAGATCTGCTGCGAGGAGACGCGGATCTGACGCCTGTAATGAGCAACATCGCCACTATGATGAGAAAAAACAGGTATACTTGAGCAATCTGACTTTTTTGGGTCACATCTTGTGACATCATGTCCTGTTTTTGGTTTGTTTACATGTCTTTGGTCCGTGTTGTGTTCATATTTTAGTCGAACCGCAGGAGAGTTCGTTTGGAGACTCATATTTTCCTCTTGTTTGGCGCACCAGGGTTCAGATGGCAGCGTTCACACTTATTCAAATGAAGCACACTAACAGAGCAATCGCACCAGAGTTCGTTTTAATCCAACCAAACATGCCAAGTGTGAACACACCCTTAATAACGGTTCACTGAAAGCTTCTCTGGGGAACCAAAACTGGCTCTTCTGGCTCTGTGAGAACTCTCTTTTGGAACCTTCATTTTTAAAAATTTTAAATTCTGTCATCTTTTACCCACCCTCATGTTGTTCCAAACCTGTATGAATTTATTTCTTCTGCTGAATACAAAAGAAGATATTTTAAAGAATATAGGTAACCAAACAGTTGACGGACACCATTGACTTCCACAGTATGGCAAAAAATACAATGGAAGTCAATGGGGTCCATCAGCTGTTTAATTACCCATATTATTTTAAATATCTTCCTCAAAAACTTGAGGGTGACTAAATGATGCCATAACTTATATTTTTGGGTGAACTATGCCTTTAAAAGTGTACATTCTAAAAACTTCTTGATTCTGGTCAGCGTATGATCTATTACTTTGACTGAAGAGGCAATTTTTAGGCCAAAATACAGAATCCGCTACTACCGTGTTCATTGCTAAAGAAATGCGTGCATGTTATTTCTCAGAAGTGAATGTTTCTTCATGAACACTTCCCTTTTTAGCCATCAAACATTGGGTTGAGAAAATTCCCCACAGTGCTGTGATCAGTGTCATCCAAAAGACGTCCGTAAGAAGTACGTCTGCAACACACAAACAAATCATAAGGCCACGGGCAATTCATAAAATTAAAGGATTGAACTCTTTCACTCACCCCCATGTCATCCAAGATATCCATATCTATCTTTCAGTCGAAAAGAAATTAAGGTTTTTGATGAAAACATTCCAGGATTTTCTGGACTTCAATGGGAACCAAACGGTTCAAGGTCCAAAAGAAACTTTCAGTGCCAACTGCAAACTGTTCAAAGGGCTTTAAACGATTCCAGACGATGAATAAGGGTCTTATGAAGCGAAATGATCGCTCATTTGAAAAAAAAAGTTTAAGTTTTATAAGCTTAAATGGTCGCCTTGCTCTGTTCTGTGACGCGTGCTTGTAACTCTCCTGTTCGAACTCGTTCATCAAAATGAACGAATCTTTTTTCGTGACATTTGGTTCATTCAACGAACGAAATGAACGAATTGACTCGAAAGATTTGTTCATTTTTGATAAACGAGTTCGAACAAGAGTCACAAACGGATGTCACAGAACAGAGCAAGACGACCATTTGAGCTTATAAAACTTTGTTTTCTTGAACCATTTGGTTACCAGTAAAGTGCATTATATGGAGAAAAATCCTGGAATGTTTTCATCAAAAACCTTAATTTCTTTTTGAATGAAGAAAGAGAGACATGGATATCTTGGATGACATGGGGGTGAGTAAATTATCAGCAAAGGTTTTTTTTTTAAAAGTGAACTACTTTAATATTCACCCCAAAGTTTAAAGACAAAAATATGAAGTTTTATTTTGCATGAAACATATATTTTAGAATTTTCTTTTTAATTTCCATGCAATTTATGCACATTCCCTTCAAAATGTTGTCCTTTTCAATTCATATTTTTTAATACAATCAGCAAATATTAAACTCACTACAATAAATACTACCATGATGCAAGTATAAATACTTATCAATTTGAGTATAATGCAAAATGTTTATAATGAAATGTAATAATGAAAAATATTTAATATTTTCATATTTCTTAATATAATATAAAAATGACCAGCTCTGTGGGATTCGCCCTAAAAACGCTCTGGCAGAAAAAGAAGGTATTAACAAATAAAAAAGCTTGACTCACCGTATTTTGAAGTAGTACGCCCCACCAAATAAGATTAATACAATGGCAAGGAAACCAACTACAATGGCAACGACACTCCCTAAAAACGAATGAGGAAAATATTCAGTTTGCTCAATCATTTATGACATATTGTCAAAATATTAAGAATAATTACTATATTGTTATAATTAAAATCAAGCAAAACACATACAAATCGTGTACAAAAAGTATACTGAAAAGACAAATCAAACTGTAGCTGACTGTCATTTTCTAACACACTTTCTTTTCGCTAACAGTGATCCTGGAACGAATTTAGATACTTTGGACTTACAGAACAAAACTTATAGTGTTTAAAATGAAGACAGAAAGCATTGTTCCACTTTGTGGTTGCCGCACGCTAGTGGATCATGTCCATAGTTCCTGTGCTGAACTACACCTGCGGTTCCTCTGCTGTAGTGTGTGTGTGAATCTGAGAACTGACTTTTAAGATATCCACTCAAAATCAGTCGACAGCTAAACGTCATTGAGCTAAAATGTTAATTCTGAGAAAAGCTCTAGTAGCATTTGTTTGCAGATGACACTTGTTCAGTGCAATGACATTCAGATAGTTTTAAGTCATGACTTAAGTTTCCAAATGCCATGTCAGAGTATAAAGTACAAATAACACCTATTTAGATGCTATAAATAGGGTAAGGAACAATATAACCTTCATGGGAAAAGGCTAGGTAACTGTTAAAAGTTCAATCACCTAGTTACTGTTTTAAATATGAACTTGGGTTGGGACACTCTTAAAGTGTTTGAGAATCAGTGGTTTGGATGTGAACCAAATAATAAATCCAGTTGCTAAAAACACAAACCTGTTCGTGACCTGCCTTGACGAATAAACAAGAATTGTAGTGTTTCGCAATATAGTTTATCACAGGCTTAAGGAATAAAAGAAATTATAATATCTTGAGAAAGTCATCTTACTTTCTTAAATTTCATGCCCAAATCTAATCTTTTAGGGTCACTTTAGTTGCTAACCTAAATAAATTAGTTTAAATTTGAATTTAGCTGAACTGATCAGGTTTGTGAAAACCATATCGGAGACTCAGACTATAGATAAAGTCTTATAAGGAAACAAAATACACCCTTGACCTATTTAAGATCTGGAGCAGAAGATCAGAAAACAAAACTTTTAGATAACTTGGTCAACAGAAACTGAAACATTTACACAAGTTAAAAACATGCACTCGTACCTGAGCTCAGTGCCTCTGGGTCCTTCTTTTCTTGTCCAACACTAGAGTCCTCTACTTGTTTATTAGTCTTTACTTCAGTAGAAGAGGACACAAGTTTAGTTGTAGACCCAATAGTAGATGTAGTTACTGTAGCAGATGTAATTTTTGCACTAGTAACATTCGCTGCCGTGTTTCTCAGCGTTGTTTTCTCTGAGGTAAGACTCTCTGAAGAGGATGTTGTTTGAGGTTCAGTCGTCAAACTCGAGATTGTGGTCGAGGTGTTTGTCGTATTGTTGACTACGCTGGTGAGCCCAGCTCCTGAGGAGGTAGTATTACAGCTAGAGGTTGTATTTGATGTTGTCTGAGCGGATGTAGAGGCGTTCGTAGTGCTCTGGGATGAATTCACAGGGAAACCAGTCGTTGTTTCATTTGTACTGAGGAGGACTGTGGAGGAAGACTGGCTCGTCGTGACATTTGCAGATGTTGTGGAGGAAGACTGGCTCGTCGTGACATTTGCAGATGTTGTGAAAGGAGAAGTCAGCGTCGATGAATGTGATGCTGTAGTTGCTGATGCCGTAGTTGTAGCTGTCGATGTTGGAGAGGTGTCAGCTGTGCTGCCTCCAATTATCAGACCTTCATGATACAACACACAAAAAACAACAACATGAAAGGCACAAAAAGTCTACATTAACGTACGCACAATACATACTGTAATGTCAACACTAACCACTTCTTGCACCAAAACTACATCTTCTAAACGAGAAACACTTACGTGGATTTGCTTTAAAGGGATTGTTTACCCAAAAAATTAATTCTGTCGTCATTTACACACCCTAGAGTTGTTCCAAAGCTGTTGAACACAATAGCTATTTTGAAGAATGATGGCAATTAAACAGTTTTTCGACACCCATTGACTTCCATTGTATTTATTTCCCTACTCAATGGCAAACTGTTGTGGTACAACGGACATGATTGCCAAAATTCTTCAAAATATCATCTTTTGTGTTCACCAGAAGAAAGAAACTCACAGGTTTTGAACATTTTCATTTTTGGTTGAACTTTCCCTTTAATGTCCAGTAGTTGCGCATTACGTTTAAATTCAAATCATCACCTTTATTACACCTTATAAAAACTAAAGAAACACACATGAACTACAGAGTGACGTCAAACAGTAATTTTAGTAGCGCATGTTAAACGTAATGCGTTAAGACTAATATATAAATAGCCTATACAATTTCCATTACACGTGTCGCTTACATGTAAATATAGTCTAATTAATTACAAAAGCAATGAAATTTAAATTTAAAGGTCCGTAAAATAATTGTTGACTAAGAGGTGCGTATGTTGTTGATAACTTCGAAGTTGCCGTAGTTTAATGTGTGAGAAACTATTTTAATCATACCTGCTAATATCACCACCGTTGAGAGGGTCATCTTCATTTTCCTTCCTCTTTCGTTTCTAACGCAGCGAGTGACTGTTAAACAGTTTCTCTATCGCACTGTAACACACATGAGTGACAAGAAGGAAATTCACGCGCGCACATCGTGAGCGCGCAGGGGACATGTGCGGTGCACGCCTCCGGTCTGATGACAGATGAGCGAAAACACCTGTCTATGGAAAAAATAGGCGGGCAAATGAGTTTTCTAGTCAGATAAAAAGATAAAAAGCGAAGTATTGTAGCCTATTCGGAATGTAGGCTGATGAATTATAAACAGTTCATCGTAAGAGACCAGAAGTGCAATGACCAAAACTCAACACTAGGTAGAAGCAAATCATTGATTCACTGACACCTCTGTGCACTTAGTCACCATGAAATCAAAATGATCAATTACATTTTTAATGGAATACCAGTGTTTATTAAAATGTTTTTTCACTGATTTATTATTATTTTTTAATTCATGTGCTTCCTAATCTTTAATCAAAATAACTCCCTCTTGCAGAGAGGCCGGGACAAAAACCTGTCACTCATTTGAGATCCACCAATATAAAATCACAATAGCAGAAACAATACGTCCCCTTGGAATTATAAGGTTCTATCTGCGTTCTGAGCAGTTTTGAGATATTGAGCTTCAAAGTTTTTACATTCCATATAGGAAAATGTGTATGGGGAACATGTTTCTTTCAAACATAAAAATAACAGGGACCCTCAATGTACAAAACACATCACATAATGTAAATAAATTGCCACAGAATAAGAAAATGAGAATAACTCAATTTTGACAAAAATGTCAGAGAGAACCTTATAATTCCAAGGGGACGAATAGCCGATTACTTTAAAAGTCACTGTTAAGTTATGACAACATTTCAAAATAACTCATCAAAATAAGTTAAGCCATTTTAAACTTTTACAAGTTATACAAGATTCAAGTTATTTTTAAAGTCAGGTTAATGTAATTTAAGTTGAAATGACGTAAACATCCAAGTTGATTGTACTTGATTTAAGGCAGCAAGATTTTTGTGCAGTCTCCGACAAACGGATGCGAGGAGACCAGTTTTCCTGTTTGTTCTTCTTGGCATTTGACATAAAGCCTTTACTCTTTAATCTTTTTGTGATGTTTCAATATGACATTATGACCATACAAATATTAAAGATGCAGGATATTAAGATCCGTGTTTGAATGTAATAATTAAATCAATTGCTCAGCTTTTTAATAAATATATTATTCCACAAACATTAGTGTATTTTTACATAAACTGCAACTGCATTACATCCATTACAGATTCCTCTTGTCCCCATTGTGCCTTCGAAGAAGTTATTGTTTCTCCAATAAACTTCTTGTAAGATAATGCACAGCTTTAGGTCCAAATGGTATGAATGTTTCAAATGTTTTATTTTTAAATAATTTTGGCCATGTTAATTTTATCACAATATTGACAAAGTAAATAAATCCACGTGTTATATAGGCAATATTCCTGTTCCATCAAAACTGTCACTTTTATTTATTGTATGGAATAATGCACACCTCGTGTAATAATCTAAAATATTCTGGCAGTAAAATATGAGCACACTTCATGCACTGCCATCACTGTAATATCTCACAAACAAAATACTATAAATAATTAACCAAGATAAATGTTTTAATACTATATTACAATTGTTATTATCACCAGTAATTTATTTCATTATTTTATCTTCATTTACAAGCAAAAAGGTCACAATTACAGCCTTACTGAGCAGTGTTGCAAACCTGGTGGTGATTTCACGAACTACTGACTGTATAGCAAGACTTCAGGTGGAAACAACATGCTGTTGCCATATCATCATTACAGGTTTAGCCTCATTCCAAACCACATTCCATGATGATCTGTCAAAACACGTGTAGAGAGTCATAAAGGTGTGGAGGAACAAAGGGCATGTTGACTTTGTTTTGCAACTCACAAATGCACCGGGACATATTATGGCGATGCTAACACTATCAGTATATCAATGATATCAGTAATAGAACAAGACAGAATAAGAAACCTGTTGAAGCAGGTTAAGGCTGGTCTAAGCTGGCCAGTTGGTTTCCACTGTTGGTTTTCAGATGAATCAGTTAAACACTGAATTATAGGTCAGATAAACTATCTTAATCAAACCAACTTGTGCTAAGCTGGTGTTTCGGGTACCATCAAAACATTCATTCTGTTAGCACATTAGAAGTTTAATGTGGTGAAATAGGAACGAATATGTACCTTTTAATCACAGACTCTAAACAGAAAGCAGTGTCACTGAGGCGATTGTCCTGGGAACAGTCTGAGTGACATTTCAAACATGCTTTCATGGTTTCGAGAGTTTCGACATAACGCAAAATGATGCAACAACTTTACCACGTAGGCTACTGAAACAACATGCCAAGTGCCCACACTTTGAAATGCTCACAATGCAGAACTCAATGCATTTTAAACAGCAAGAACTCTTTACACAGCAGTGTTGTTTTATCATATAGGTATACTAGGCTAGTTTGTATTAATATTTTGAATTAGTTTAATTTTTTTATTTTATTTTGAGTAATGAAAATGTTTTTTTTTGTTGGTTTTAGTTAGTTATGTTAACCAACCCTGTTAGAGTTTGGATGCAGCAAAGGCGACATTAATGGCAGAATGCACCCAAAAGCTGCTGATGTTGATTCCAGTTTAGTTTCGGCAAGCAGCTTTTGGGGTGAACATTGGCTGTAATTCAATCTCGATTCAGCTCAGAATCCATTTGTTATTTCTGGGAAGCGGACAGAAAACAAGACAAGCACTGATTGATAGCAACGAAATCAGAAAGATTAAAAGAAAACAAAAAAGGTCAAATAAAAGATGTCCACCAACATCAGCACCAAAATCTCCCCTACAATTTCCCGTATTGCATATGACGTAATGCGAGTGGGCGTGGCCTACAGGTGTGCCGAAACTTGGAGCCCGAGACCGACAGTCACGTGACTTTTAACAATAGTCGGATTTAATGGGATCCTCCCACCAGAAGTTTCTACTGTCCTTAAACTTAACGAAACAAAGTAATTCATTTCCAGAGGGGCTACTCTTTGTGTGTTTGTGATCTCCCAAATCTGTCATGCGAACTCCAGGGATTTTTATTTTCGGGATGGTGCTCGCGCCTTGCGGGTGGATTTTGGAGCTGGTCAGCACAGTGGCACCAGGCTGGCGCACGATCAACAACATCCCCGGAGAATCCATCGATCTGGTCCTCCAGCAAGGATTATGGGACATCTGCAAGACTTTCTCATCGTCCAGGAATATTCAGTGCAACCAGCCGGACACTCAGTACTTCGGGGCGCAGATCATCCAGATCGCGCGAGGCTTGATGCTGGCGTCACTCATCCTCAATGTCATTGCCTTCGGCGTGGCGTCGGCCGGAGTCCGGTGCTGGAGAGATACCCCGCAATGGACCGTCGCGGGCGTCGGAGGTGTCCTCATCTTCCTCTCAGGGGTCCTCACCATCATCCCAGTGGCGTGGTACACTCACATCATGACCTCCATCTTCTCCACGTCCACCGACATTCGTGTGGGATACTGCCTGGTGCTGGGCTTCATCGGCGGGTGCATGGAGGTGCTCGGGGGTTTGGTGATGTCCATCGGGTTGTGTCGGCGCTGTGACGGACGGAAACCGAGGACAGACACGCGCAGAGTCCCGGTGCCCAGTGTTATCAGCGGGAGCAGTGTCCCGTACTACTCCAAACGGGATGAGATGGACCTCACGCGAGCGAAGATGGAACAGGACCGTCGACCAGTGAACACGACGACTAAAGCACAACCTTACGACTCAGATTTGTAAAATACAAAACTTTTAACCTTGTGAACGCAAGACCCTGACGACGCACTGGAACCATCGATCGCTTCCGCGTGAATATAGTTAAGCTTAGTACTATCATTCAGATTGATCAAATCAGTCTTTCGAATCCCTGCTAAAATTGTCTGTTATGTTTTACATTTTAGGTTTTTAGTTCACGTTGAACAGTGTGTGTGTGTGTGTGGGGGCATGTGGAAAGGCCTTTTTGATAAGTATAATTTGTGACCATCTGTTTTACCACCTGTATTATCATTGATGTTATCACTGTAAAATCAACTGTGGGGGCAATGGTGGCAACCATACATGTTTTTGAAGGGAAGTGAGGTTTTATATCGTAGAACACTAACACCGTCAGTTTGGTTTTATACTTTGCACTTTATAATGTAAAGTCCTTGTAATTTTATTGGCAGTACCTTTACTGTCGTTTTGTAGCACACTGGGCTCTAATGTGTACAGTAACTTATCAGGAACCTCTTAAGTTTGCACAGTAATACCAATTGCAAAAAGCAAACACACATTCGTCTGAAGGAAGCTAATATTTGCACTACACGGTACAGAAGTGTATGTCTCCAGACATAACTATGTAAAATATCTTTTTATCGATTTTTTGTTTCACAGTAATGTTGTATTTGACATCCATCCATCAATATTAATGCAAATGGTTGAAGGCTGTTTATTTCTCTGTATTTTTATTATGGTGATGATGAACAGTGTCAAGAGCTGTGGCTCATACATTTATCTGCCACGATTATAATAAATGAAGCTAAATATTGCTAATTTGGAACAATGTTGGGTACATGCGTCCTATTAATACATAGTATACTCTTCTTGCATTTTCATGAATAATCTATTTTTAAACATGATTACATTTAAAATTCCATTTTATGTAAGTGACTTAACAGAAATTACATACGTAATTAATTTAATTTAGATCAATTTAGTATGTCTTATGACATTGTCATAATTATGAGAAACAATTATGAAATTATGATGACATTGAAATTATGACAATGCATAAGTATAAAAAAGTAAACAACGTGATAGATGGAATTATCAGCTACTTTGTCAATTTGGACTTATATGTCTTGATTTCAACTTTACATCTCATAAATAGGACTTAATTGTGATTTACAAAAAAAAATAATAATAATAATAATAAAGAGTTATTTGGCCTAAAGAAATGAATTAATGAACTGTATTAAGTTACAGCATGTAAAACAACAAGAATGAGAAGGCATATTATGGCATATAATGAATACTACACTGAAGGCATATTATGAATACTACACTGAAAACATGTTTTCATTAATCCAATTAAACAAATTTAGGGTTATGGTTCACATCTATATTTCATAACTTGAGCCAATGAAAAATAACTTTTCCTAATCTGTGTATATCTATTTCATAAGAATATGTGGTCACCATTATGGTGCTCAGTGTTTCCTTTAGCTGGACAGTTTGTGGTCTTTATAACAGTGTATAGATACAAATGTGAAACATCTAATATGAAAACTTCTATTTTAAGACCATTTTGAACTGATTGAAACCAACACACAACCAACAAATGTTTATGCAGATGAACTCCTGACCTGAAACCTCACTGTTACTCAGATATAAACACTGTATCCCCAAGCCCTTGCATATACTGGTATTCCAGGTATTAACTGCAACATGGCATGCAGTAAAAACCAGTTTTGTCTGAGTTTAAACCAGGCATTCAACACCACGCCCTTCAGATGCTAATTACAGAGAACCACCTCCTTCAGGTTTCAGTGTGTCTCTTCTTAAGCGCCAGAGACGCTAGGCTCGCTTTAGACGGGGACGGCTGCTCAACCCTCAACCATGCGTACTCCAGGGATCTTGATATTCGGCATGGTCCTGGCCCCCTGCGGATGGATCCTGGACCTGACCAGCACGGTCGCACCCAACTGGCGCACCATCAACAACCTGGCCGGTCAATCTGTGGATCTGGTGGTGGAGCAAGGAATCTGGGACATCTGCAATACCTTCACAACGTCTAGATCGCAAATGTGCAACCAACGCACCAATGACCAAACATACTTCAACAACCAGATCATTCCGATCGCTCAAGGAATGATGATCGCGTCATTGATCGTGACCATCCTTGGCCTAGCGGTGGCGACGCCTGGAGTCAGATGCTGGAGGGACAGACCGAGATGGATCCTGGCTAGTATCGGCGGGCTCCTCATCTTCTGCTCCGGAGTCCTGACCATTATTCCTATTGCGTGGTACACTCATCTTCTCAAAAGCCTCAACTCCACCTCGGTCAAGAGAGACCCATTGAGAGAGGATGACATTCGTGTGGGATACTGCATCATTTTGGGCTACATCGGAGGCATCATGGAGGTCCTCGGCGGTTTGGTGATGTTCATCGGGATCTGCTCCTGCTGCGGAGGACGGAACCGCGGAGAAAAGCCTGGAACCAACACAGGAAGACCAGCGCCTAGAACAGTGACCAGGCTGGCGGACAGACCAACGCCTCTGCCCAGGGTCAACATACCGAGAAGCTACACCAGTGAAAGCAGCGTACCGTACTCGCAGAAGTCACTGGACGACGACCTGGACTTCCCGAGAGCCAAAACCCGGGACAGGGGGACCGTCAACACATCCTACAGCGGAAGACCTTACGATGCTGATCTGTAAAATGACTATTGCATACTGTGAATATTAGATTATTACTTGTGAACGCCGTGTTAGCTGTCTACAACTGGAGCGTACACCGGTACTTTTGAATGTTTACAACAGAAAGCGATCAGGCTTTTGCCAGTTGCACTCTCAGGTTAAGTAACACGAGGACTTTAATTTGAGACTTGTAAATAGCCAAAAATCTAACTCCCAGTCCAGTAATATGTCTTAAAATCTACTCATGCATCTTAATCTAGCCTAATGATAGTATCATATTAATACTGAAGGATCTAAGAAAAATGAATTGTGCAATATTTTTTTCTTTTGCTGCTGGAAAAAGTTGAGTGAAACAGGTTATCAGGGTTTCTTGTGATGCAGTTTAACTAGTAATACTGGTTGTTTGAGTTTTATCTGCAAGCATGTGGGTCATGTCTGTCTCGGAACTGTAATGTAATAAATGTTGCGGTTTAATGAAGGGCAGTGAGCAGATAACTTACATTCTTCAGTCTGGAAACATCAAAACAAACTTACCTGTTACACAATTGCCGAGATGTATAATAATAAATGAATGAAGCTCATTAATCATTAACTGTAAAAAACGATGCTTATAAGAGCAACAAGGTGTAAATGAGGTCAAATGGTAATAAAACCATTTTAATGTGACTTTATTTTGCCGTAACTCATCAGATCATGTCATATTTCCATTCCTCGGGGTTCAAGGTTTGTGTGCTTTCTAACAGCAATAAAACACATTTTAAATCTCTTTGTAACAATTTAAAATTTTTTTTGTATTAAAGTACTATTTATTAAAAAAAACAGTGCTGTTTATTTGTATCGATAACTAGTATTATACAAATAACAACCTAAAGAAATTAATATCAGTATGGCTACACCTATTAACACTGATTAAAAAAAAAAGAATAACTATAATAGTATATTGTAGATGTTATACTATAATAATAAGAATGCTAGCATTCTAGCATGAAAAGTTATAGACAAAAAAGCACTTGGTATAGAAATATATGGAGCGAACTTTATTATTTATCCTACTAAATATAAAATTAAACAAACTTGGATGTTTATTTTTGCATGCATTGATAACAGATGGAAACAAACTAAAGTATATATCAAACTAAATGCATTCACAGTATATAAGATGTCAAATGTCAAATGAAAAAGACCTTCTATTTCATGTGGAAATATATATATATACACACACACACACACACACACACACACATACATACATATATATATATATATATATGAAGAGTTCAGATGCAAAAGCCTCTAAGTGCCATTTGAAATTTTCTTGAATGATAATTTTTATCAAGCTTGTATATTTAAGTTCAGTGATTTCACTTAAATGGCAATGATAATTACCTATTAATTGTTATTTAAGTAAAAAATTCCTGAACTTAAATATACAAGTTTGATAAAAATCATCATTAAAGAAGAAAATTTCAAATGGCATTTAGAGGCTTTTGCATCTGAACTCTTCATATATAAGCAAATATTGTTGAAGTGCATTGGATCTTTCAGTTTGGCCGAAATACAGTCATAATTATATAAACAAAAAAAATCTTTATTATAAAATACTTGCTGCTTCAAAGGGTTTCATGCAGAGCTGTTGTGTCACTTCAAAAGTAAAATGAAATACATTAGAGGATTAGACCCATAGAAATTGTGGTGGCCGTTTTCCATAAATGTCTAAAATAGATACTCATCAGCTCATGATACTAATCAGCTTTCAGTCAGTGAAACTCACCGGACAAGCCAGAGCTAAATATAACCGCACAGGAATACCTGGCGTGTTTTACAAACAAGTCAACTCATGTTTAACAGGAACACTTCCTGCAGGATCACCAGTCCAAACCATGTTTAGAAATCTAAATGTTGTGCAAACTTCATGTATTTCACATGCAATAGTTTTCATTTAAATGTGGAGTGCATTCAGAGCGCCTTAAAACCTGCAAATGTACACCAATAACATATGAATATCATGTACTTCTGGTGGAAAGCTGATGTATTTGATGTACAGGTGCTTTATGGGTTGATTGTACTGTTTAAAGAGGGAAGCAGAGAGAAACGGTGTGAGTTTACTTTTGAGACAGAGTTCAATTGTCTGATGTAGAATGAAAGACAAACCTGTTTTATGGCACACTGCAGTAAGACATGTTAAATATGTGCTCCATTTCTCATCAGGGATTCTTCAGCTGTCTTTTTTCTGTTGACAAAGAGAAAAAATATCAGTTTACAGACTTCATGAATGCGTTATGCTCTCTTTTTAAAGAAGACACTCGGCAGATTAAAATAGAAAATAAAGTGCACTCTGAAATGGCTATAAATTCAAAGCCGCATGTCAAATCAAGCTGTGTCCCAAATTCAAACTTGATATGACAAAAACTGAGGTTCCTGTGAGATTTTGTTCAGGCGCTGTACCAAAAATAGCCACTAAGTGACAACCACAATCTATTGAATTTGGTGCGTACTCTTCTATCGAGTGCCATATATAGAAATCTTGAGTCTTAGACGAAATGCGTTTTATCAAAGATTTGATTATTACAGTGCAGGGGGAGGAGCCAGATGAAAAAAATGGAAAAATTAAAAAAAAAATGTGCTGCTAATTTACTCACCCCCATGTCATCCAAGATGTTCACGTCTATCTTTCTTCAGTCGAAAAGAAATTAAGGTTTTTGATGAAAACATTACGGGATTTTCTCCATATAATGGACTTCATTGGGAACCAAACGGTTCAAGGTCCAAAAGACAGTTTCAGTGCAAACTGCAAACTATTCAAAGGGCTTTAAACGATTCCAGACGATGAATAAGGGTCTTATTATTAAATTGTTCTTTACGCTAAGAAAACAGGGTTCTTTTAAAGGGGTGACGAACTGAGAAATCAAATTTTCCTTGAGCTTTTGACATCTAAGAGGTCATCATATTATAAGAATATCCTGTAAGTTTCAGAACTGAAAACGTCCTTGTTAGTAAAATAAAAGCTTTTATTGACACCAGCCTCAGCAAACGACTCGTTTTTCAAAGTGGGGAACTATGACGTCAAAGAGGATAAAACACCACCCCCGCAGAAGAAGATCAACGCCTACTTCAACACGGCCGGTTTAGTCCCGCTCATCGATTTGCGCATAACACGCATAGCTAAATAACATAGATGCCTACCTCGTGATGACCAAACTAATCGAGCTACCGAGCAATACAGAATATTGTGCAGTGCCTGGTTGTGGAAGAAGACAGTTTCTGCATAAGCTTCCTCTGGATTCCAATAGGACTGCATGGATAAACTTTATTTTTCATGACGTTCCAGCTGATGAGGGGAAAAAAAACATTGTCCGTCTGTTCGCTTCATTTCACTGAGGATTGTTTTGTAAATATGACTGGATTTGCAGACTGATTAAGGAACGGTGCTGTGCCGTCTATATTGGATCTGACAGGAATTGTGCAACACACGGACTCTGGGTCGAACATGTACGGGCGAATCATTCCTGGTTGCCATTTTACAACATTAGACGTTTTCAAAACAATTTCCCCCAAGTGCATCGACAGGTGAGTTGAAACTCATTATAATATGCAAAACTGTTATCCACTCACAGCAGTGGGCGTTTACTTCCAAGTCTTCAGTGCGAGACGCACATAAAAATCGAGCGTTTTTGAGCTAGGCTCAAAACTAGGGTAGAAATAGCCTATTACTTATGACATTCGCCTGGTTTTTACATTCAAAAACATCAAAATGAATAAGTTGACCTCAGGCAACAATATAATAAAATTTAAAAAGCCAGTTCATGACCCCTTTAAGAACTGTTTGCTGGAAGGTTCTTTGGGGAACCAAAAATGGTTATTCTACAGCATTGCTGCATTATCTATTTTTTTGTGTATTTTAGTCTTAATATATATTAGAGTGTGGTCATAAAAAGTTCAAATTACCATTGAAGGTATGCAGCGCTTACTTAAATTACTAAAAAAAAAAATGAATATCCAGAAATAGAAAGAAATCCAGGCAAAGTCTCACCTTTTCTTTGCCTTTAGCCTTTGTCGGAAAAATGCCATCCCAAAGAACAAGACGATGAAGCCGACGATGACCACCAGGACGCCGACGGTGAGTGGAACAGACAGAGCCTCATTGATGGTTTCGTCACAGGAGTCTCCCGTGTATCCCAGCGTACACTCACAGCTGGGCTCCCCATTGAACAGCACACATCTACCATACTGGCATACGACATGTTCACATGCAACCAGAAGACGAGACACGCCATCTCCTTTATCCAGAGGACTGGTGGACGGGGCAGACATACCCAAGCTCTGGAGTCAAAACACACACAAACTGCATAACTGCTGCATAAATCGGTTACAAGAACACACACACCCCTCAAAATCTCTTATAAGAGATGCGCCACCTCCTACAAAATTTGTAGTGTTCCTCAAATCCAGTCCCCAGAACTAACCTCACAAATTCCTTCCTATATTACAACCAACAAGGAAACTGACGAGTTGAATCATACGTTTTTATTGAAATATGTATGTAGGTGGGTCTTCAGGGCTGGAGTTGAGAAACATTGCTCTAGGCAACTACGCGTAGTTGTTTTTCAGGATCTGTTTAATCCAGGGAGAGGCAACCTAGGACCTGGAGAGTTTAGCTCTAACCCTCACCTGCTTGTAGCCTTAGTAATCCATTGATTAGCCTGAAGATATCCATTAGAGTTGGAGCTAAACTCTGCAGGACCCTTCTCAAATCGAATATAATTAATTAGAAGAAAAGCAGCAATTTCACAAGCCCATAGAAATATCATTTCTTAAATTTCTTAGACAAATCTTACCCCATTTATGGGTAACGGATAAGTTGAATTAACGGAGAGGACATTATGAAAAAATACTTAAGATTTCTTCTGAAATGATATACTTCTGGATGTAGATGAATTGACGTGAATTGAATTTCTAACATCCTAAAAGGATCAAACAATTAAACAGTTCAAACAGGACGATCTTATTCAATTCTTATTTAAGCCTTTCTTTTCTGAAAAAAAAACAACAACAATAAAATAAAAACCCAAAACGAACTAAATTAATTCTTTAGAAATATACAAAGTAAAATATTTATTTCAGCGTAAACTTGACCACTACCAGGAAGCAAATGTATAACTATTTTTAGGCAAATTCTCCAAGCAAATTATTAACACATTAAGTCATCTGAAACACACTACCTTATAAAACAGTTAAGTGTCAGAGGACACTAACACTTGACATTCGGAAGCATTCGGAAATCGCGTTAAAGCCCTAGTTACAGAGAGTGTCCAAATAACGTATACTCACCATTTCTCAAGTCAAAGGTGGAAAATACAAGCAAACCTCTAAATGTTTAATGGATACAAATGTGATAGAGAAACCAGTGACATAAATGTCTTTAGAGGAGCTGAAAGGCTTGACACGAGAAGAAGCAATGCGCAAGAAGTAGAAAAGACCCACCCTTTCACACATCACCTGGTTAACTCGGTGAAACAAGATTCCTGTTTGGTCGCCTACCATGAGGGCAAGGAGTGAACTTCAGGTCAAAAATAAGGGCCAGAGATGAAGATAACAGTGCAGTAACAGTCTGACAACATTTAAATCAGTGTTGTATGTACCATGCGGGCGCTGACATCCTCAACAATCACATATTTCCGGCGGCGCGCGTCACCGTCACACTGAATCCACACACAGCGTCCCATAAGCCACGTGAGAACGACTGCCAAAATGTGACTTAATTCGTATTTTAGAACAGACATGTTTTATGACTAAATAAAATTAAGTCAAATGATAGCTTTATGCGAGTAAGAGACCGAAAAATCAACTCACGGAGTCAATTCCAATTTGCAACAGTATTCAACTGAAGTCAAAACGTTGTCATAATCGTAACATTTTTATATGACAATGAAATCGTTTTTTGTTGTTTGTGACTACAATACTGCTGTAACAGTATCTCAAAACGTTTTGCCATTTCTCTGGAATAATGTAAGAGACATGAATTCATTGCTTTCTGTCTGGTGTCCGAATAATTCAGTAGAACCAATTCAAAGAATCAGGTTGTGTTTGAGTCGCAAGAAAGAAAAACACCTTTAAAAAAAAAATCTTAACGTAAATAAATAGTTCTTAGTATTTGCTGTACTTTCTGGGTTCTTGCTTTGAATTTCGAATGATGCTTCGAATGATTTAATAATTCTTATTAATATATTCTCCATTATAAACCACTTAAATTTGTGTGGAAAAGCTCAACTTTTAACAATAAAGAACATACGTATTTCATATCACGGAGGTCTGTATGGAATTCCACAGAAAATTCATAATTTAAACACCCATTAAGCAATACACATCCTACACCGCTTGCATTTTGCAGCATTTATTAAATCAGTTGTCATGATGGTCCTTTCAACGTTAGCATGTCATATCAATGAGCAAATCTTATGTGGACCAACAAGTGAAAAAGCAAACAAACACCACAAACCAAATGTAGAGTTTTTATCTGGGAAAACACCGTTTTGACATCAATACAGAGAGCCCTTAGTCCCAATTCACACTGGAGAGCCTCTTGTTCAGGTATTGGCTCATGTTTCAGTGAGGGCGATGGGGTGGAGTAACAGTATTGAAAGAGGCCTGGTTTTGCATAGCCAAACAATCCTTTTGTGTTGTGCATAAAAGCAGACAGAAGTGACTCAAGCCCAAGGAGGAACACCGTTTATAAAAAGGCAACTCAAATAACCATTCAATAAAGACCTTAAAGCTTTGAGCGAGAGCTATTGGAAAACACACCCATAAAATAAGGGTATATTACAACTGGATGTGAGGCACTCCCATATTGAGAAAATAACAGCAGATCAACTCATTGCCAAACATCTGCTTTCTTACTTTTAAAAGGTAGTTACAAGTTAGAAATGCAAATACATTCCCAAAAAACTAGACCATCAAACTAAGTATTTATGTGTTGGGATTAAGCTTGTGTTTCTTTCTAAGTGCTGTTGTAAATATTTCACCTGCTGTTTGACATCAGTTGCAAGTTTATAGCTATACAGAACACCACAGGCACTTTTCTTGACATTAGACTTTACAATGATTTACACTACAGCCCTTTTTCATTGGAAGAAGAAAGTAAACCACACCCAATTTCTTGCAAAGTCAATAGTTTTATTAGACATTAAAACACACAAAAAAAGTTAGCTGACAACAGGCGTGGTGACAACTGGAGCAATCGGAGCCTATAGGAAAGAGGAAGTCATAGGATTAAATTCTGAATTAACTTACAGTATTTCAATTCTACAGGAATCTGTACATTTGTTTACTCCGCCTTCAATCATTCCAAACTTTGAACTACTTTTTTGCAGAACACATTATAACTTTAGCAGAATGTCCAGGCTGTATTATATAATATTGAAAGGGTTCAGAAGACTTGGGTTATGTGATGTTTAGTCAAATTTTGATCTAGTCAGTCTTCGATCCAAGAAGAACCATTTCATATTTCCAGAAATTCCCTAGATCCAAAGATACTGCACATGTTAGTTCAGAAATATAAATTGTGCAAACAAATATTATATTTACTTTTTAAATTCACAGACAATTATTACTCCATACTAGTCAATGTTGTATGTAAAACAGCGACAGCATTCTTCAAAATTCCTTTTGTGCTCATGATGATTAGTAAAAAAGAAACATGATTGTACCTCTTCTGGATCATACAACTCATTATCAAAGTTTTGAGTGTAGGTTGTGTGCTCCTTCACGTCAGCAGGCACCAGCGTCTCTTTTTCAGTAGCCTCTTCCCTTGCTGCGCGCATCCTTCTGCAAATAAAATCACATTGGGATAGTTTGAAATCCAGGTATGTGGCTGAGAAGAGATGCATGTATTATATCAAGTATGAACCTCCTCCTGAGGATGACGGCAGCCAGCAGAGCTCCACCGAAGAGAAAGCTGAGTGAGAGCGCGAGGCCAGTGGAGCTGGAGTTAGTGTTCTGACAGAGATCCCCGCTGTAGCCCTCCTCACACTCACACACCAGCTCTCCCTTCACGCTCACACACTTCCCATGACTCCCGCATCGCTCCTCACACGACAGACCCTGGTCCACACCCTCGTCGTCTTGAGACGGAGACTGTCCCACAGCAGAGCCCAGAGACAAAGGCCCAGATTTGGATTTGACACCTGGTTTGGTTTTCACAAGGTCACCTGTCAACAAGCAAGAGATTTAGGCAAGACAGTCTGGTTTGTGAGTTTTAAACATTAATACCAGGTTTAAAATTATTAATATTAAAAGCTGTACTACAAGATGACAAATGCCCACTACAATATATATCATGCTTATTCCCTCTCATGTAGGGTGTAACATTGCAGACTGTTTACATTTCCAGAAAACTAAGTCGTAAAGTCGAAAGTGCACAATAAAGTTATCATCTGATTAGAGTCTAACTTGCGTGACCTGCATATGTAACGGTGACACATTCACATAATGATCATCAACACGTAACCACTGCTTTTGCAAAGGATGAGGATGTGAAGTCAAATTCTTTCCACAGCGGTACAATAGCAGTACAATCTTTTGAGAATTGATTCTGAAATCTCTGTATGGTCTAAAAGGAATTTACAAAGCGCGAATCCATTAAAGATGGGACCGTACCCAATTTTTTTTGGACCAACTTGCTCCTCAGAATCACAACTTGGAAGTATGAAAAGCTATTGATGCATGCATTGATGTACTTTCTACCAGGTGTTCAATAATTGTGTTTTACATTGCGTACGTTTGAGGCTAACCAAAATAATTTATTCCTGAACTACGTCTTTTAATCAGCTGTGGGCCATATTGCCCAAGACTGTCTATTAATGCAGATTGTCTGTTGTTCTCACAACTTTAAAGGAGCAAGACTTTAATACACATCATTTAACAGTAGTACATCAGTTAGCTGAGCACTAATGTAATATCATACAAGTCATTTATAATAACTAAGATTCACTCAACTCACAGTCCTCATCCGATTGGTCCTGGCAGTCTGGGACTTGGTCACAGAACTTGGCCACGGGGACACACTTGAGGCCGTCCCGGCAGGCTTTACTGCCAACGGGACACTTGAGGTTGGAAAGACATTGAGTCTTGTTCACAGCAAGGAAGTCCTGCGCACAGCGACACGAGCGTCCACCGGGATAGGGCAGACACAGGTGACTGCAGCCCCCATTGCTCTCAGAGCACACATTGGTTCCTGGTGGGTTGAAAAGACAAAAACAGAGGTCAAATGACTACTGTATGAGCTGTAACCCTCCCTAAAGTCAGACTGAAACACTAGCGGACTTACTGAAAAATGAAAGGTAAAAAATAGATTTACATGAATATTTAACTAAATAAATTAATCTTATTTTAATTTATTATTCATAAACAAGACAAATAAAAGTAAATAGAAGACAGTTATACAAAAAAAAAAATCTAAAAATGTATAGATAATATATTGTTCATCAATAAGGAAAAAAATAATAAATAAATCTATCGATAAATGATAAAAATGACAATTATATATATAAAAAAATTGGATGTAAAATTAAATAACAATACAAGGTAAAAAAACAAAAAAAATCCTTGACAGTAAAAAACAACAACCTTAATTTCAATCAATTTAGCCTTACATTTCCGGTGTGTGGAATAAAGCAGTGATACAGTACTAAGCACAGTTGTTGTATAGTGTGCATTTTGGCAAAATGTGTTGGTATGTATATGTGTACTGCTTACATTTTCTGTATATTTGAAATGCACTAATAATCCATGTACAATAATAGGAAGAGCTGCATGTCATTCTGAACAGAGTGAGAGTGCACTTCAGTTCTTCAGTGAGAACTCTAGATGTGTCTATTATGTGGTGAAGCTTCCTGAACAAAACAAGACACGCCCCTCTCACACACAGAGACCAGCAAATACCTTTCTGACTGGACCTGCTGAAAGCCTTCAACTCTAGAACACTCGTCTTCACCTCAAACCACATCTGCTTGGGCTGGAAGCCATCGCTGTACCACACTTGAGTTGAACCTGTTTCAAGAAGCACAAACTTTGACAGCTGGCCTTTGCATTACTCTAACACAAAAGCATTTCATGTACATTGCATTAATGCACCATGTTGATCAAAAAAAAAAAATCAGAATTTTGCCTGAATTACATTTGTTTGAAAGCTTTTCTCAAAAAATACAGATTTTTATAAAAGTTTGATTAATCAACATACAAAGAGTTTTAATATTTTTTTTTATTAAAGATCTATCGTTTGTATATTTTAGGAGTAGTTAATGGCTTCATGCCATCTAGTGGCACCGACACAGAAGTGCATTCTCTAGAAACTGGATTTCTGGAGGTCTTGAATCGTTACCGTTCTCCAGGGTGATCCAGAAGTTGGTGTTCTCGATACGGGCAAAAGAGATCATGAAGGCAGGGCCGGTGCTAAACTCCTTATAACCGGAGCCGTCTAGATTAATAGAGCTGATCAGTTCACTGCCTGGAAAACAAAATCAGCTGCCATTACGGATTGCTTTGGAAAAGCCATAGCACAAAGTCATTTAATTCTTGTTCAAACAAACATACATTCACTTTCCACAAGTAGAAAACAATTATTGTTTAAAAGCACGCAAGCAGATTGTACCCTAAACTAGCTAGCGCCATCTTAATTTAGGCTGAATCTACTATGCTGGTTTGTAGTCTTAACTTTTGTTGTCTTCGGAAATACAATGTTTGTTTTGTGGTTAAGACAATATTAATATAAAAAAAATAAATTAATTGTATTTCCTAAATTCAAATAAATTAGAAGATTTTTTTTAGGAAAAAAAAGAGTGGTAATAAGGTTGTGCACAAAACATAAGTCATTCATACATTTGAATGAAATTACAAACAAAAATCACACACAAAAAATTGATTTCTATAAATACCGAGACTTTCATGAAGGACAAATTCTTCTCACTGAGAATAAATAAGTTTATACAACTAGTCCAAGTTATAACAATTTTAATTTATATAACTACTGACCAAGTTTCATTTGAGGCTTGCTCATACAAGACATGTCTCTGTACCCTATGAGAAGACCATGTCTCTGAAAGGGAAACATAATTTTGCTTTTAACGCACCAATATCTGCCCAATACAGTGATGTTCCCTTCTCAGAAAACGCGAGTGAAGCGGGCATCTTGGCTTTGCTCCACAGCAGCGTGCGGTTCCTCCCGTCCATGTGAGCGCAGTGGATCTGAGGCATTGGCTCGGGCCCCCCCTGCCCCATTGCGGTGAAGCACAGCTGGCCCGAGGGAGGGTGCAGGGCGATGGAGATGGTTCCCCCTAGCTCCGCCTGCAGCACCATGGCGGTGAACTTCCCTCCAGGGGACGTGACGTACAGCTGCGGACTCTTGACGCTGCTCCAGTACAGGTTACGGGTGACCCAGTCCACAGCCAGAGCGGTCACCAGGTCCCCTTTGAGCTGCAGCACGGAGCCGATCGGTGTGAAGCCAGAGCTGCTGAACTTGAGCTGAGCCACTGAGCCCTGTCCCGCGTCAGCCAGGGAGACGGTGCGGTCTCTAAGGAGCAGATCGAAGTCTGAAGCCTCCTTCACGCCCGGGAGAGTCAGGTTACGGTGCTCGGGCCAGGTCATCAGCCCAACCTCTTCTTGAAGGCTCCTGGTGAAGATCTGAGCAGGAGAAGAGAGGTCAGGGATTTAAGGACTCAATATTCCTCAAAGGAGCACTGAGGGTTCAGTGAAAAAACAAAAAACAAGTTATATTATAACTACACACATCACATTAACATGCATCACATTTACAGTACGTAAACCAGTATTTGAATGGTTTATAGATTGAAACACTTGTAACAACTTTGTTGCAAAGAAACATTAAAAAAAAAATAATAAAATGCATAATACAACTGTAAATAAAATTAAATTGCAATTATATCCTAATGTATAAAATACGCATTCATAAATATAAAATGTAATATATTTAAAATTTCTAATGTATTAATATATCAATTAAATTATAATTATATCAAAATATATTACATTTATGAATACATAAGGATATTATAAGTATATCCTAATGTATAAAATAAATAGTATAATAAATATTTTAAAAGGATATCACTACATATAATTATTTATAGCCAAATTAGAATATAATTAATTATAATATAATTAATTATAAATAGTTAAGTATATAAATAATATAATATATAAAATAATATATAAATAATATATATATATATATATATATATATATATAAATTATATTATGTATTAAAATTTAAATTAATATTATACATATATATTGTGTGGGTGATGGCGCAGTGGATTAAACACATGCCTTTGGTGTGAGAGACCCAGGTTTGAATCCACTGCGAGACACCATTGTCCCAGAGCAAGACACTTAACCCCTAGTTGCTCCAGAGGCGTGCGACCTCTGTCATACAGCAATTGTGAGTCGCTTTGGATAAAAGCGTAAGCTAAAAGAATAAATATAAATGTAATTTATTATAGCTATTTGGCTGTTGGTTAACACTGCTTGTCAAATTAACACAATTGATGGACCGATGAATCGTGCACAATGCGCATTAAAACGCAAATTGATTTCATGTTGACTTTAAATTATAACATATTCTGTAATTCGGTTTTAGTTGGTTATCAGGTTGGTCCACCACAACCTGTTCTAGCGACAAACTATTGTGTCACAAGCCATTCAGTCGTTCTCAAGCGGAGTACCTGTGTGATCATGGTAGGTGACAGTAGCATAAGGAAAGAGGAAGAAGAATCGACAAGTGGGTCGCAAGTGACTCCGTCCACGGCCAACAGAAGTCCTGCCGGGCAGCGACAAACCGCTTTGAGCGCCGCAGCCAGCAAACACACGTGGGAGCACTTCAGCTTATTACAGGGGTTGGACACGTTGGGCTGCAAGAGAGGGTGGACAACCTACACCAAGACAGAGGAGACATCAGTAATGCAAGGATATATTGATGTACGAGTACAACTTACAACACGTCTACAGTGTGTATTCTCACTTTGAGGCCGAAAGGCTGTCCGGGTCTCTTGAGAAAAACTTTACGGTTCTTGCCAGTCAGTTTATTGGCACCTTGAATGGATCTTCTACGAGTGTCAGACCAGTAGACCATGTCATTAAACACCGCCACAGAGAAAGGACTGGGCATCTCAGACAGCTGTAGAAACTGCAAAAAAAAAATAAAAAAATAAAAAGTTAATCTTTTAGTATGTAGTCTCTACCAAGTGTCACTGTTTCTGAACTCCCTGAAACGACTCAGTTCCTGGAAGGAAACTCAAGACTACAATGAACATCACAATATTACTATTAAAATTACAACACACTAGACCAGCCGACCAATCAGAGCACACTGCACTTTTCAGGAGGGGCTTCAGAGACAAACTAAACAGTGTTACTGACAGACTGGAAAGTGAGGCACTGCAACAATGGAGAATGTGAAAAATAAGGTGGTGTTTTTAACATTAAAGCAGAAAAACCTATTCTAGTATAGCCCATTTGCGACAGTAAACATGTTGTTCTTCAAATTACCTTCATGTTTCCTCCATCAAATGTCGCCGAGCCTATACATCCGAGCTTCTCGTCAGTCCAATATAGTCGGTCTGTCAAAACGTCCACCGTCACACTGACAGGCCAGTCGAGACCACGGCTGATAATCACCCTCCTGTCCGAGCCGTCCATGCTAGAGCGCTCGATCTGTGCGGGACCTCCAATCTCAGACCAGAACATTATCCTAAAAGCAATGGTCAAAGACATTATGCATCCATACAGATGAACAATCATGTAATAGCACCAACTTGGAGGATCTTCTCACCCTTTCTGCGGCAGCAGCGCAAGCGAGCGGGGCTGCTTTAAATCCTTATCCAGAATCACAATGTAGTTTTGGGGCTTCACAATGCTATTGGTCAATCTCACAGCTAGAATCTGCCCAGCAACACCATCAACCCAGTAAAGGTTCCTTCCCAACCAGTCAATAGCAATGGAGTCTGACTTCACACCTGAACATGAAAAAAAGTTTAGGAATACCTTCCTTAACCAAAAAATCTTGCAAGTTGAAAATCTTGGACCTAAAATATTTAGAAATTATTCCAAAGCGACTCGAGTAATACGACTCGCATAAAGCCCACACATTTGGATTAGAGCTAATTGAGAGAGTGAAACCTGAAAATACTGGCTCATGTATAACAAAATGTATTGTAACCACCAAGCCTAAACAAATGTAATTTATAAATGAATGCCAATACAATTTGTATGAATTATACTTTATTTTTTTATTCCTGTTCTGAATAAAAAATTGAAAGGATTTATGGTGGAATGAGGAGGGACTAAAATGCATGTATATAATGTATAATAAATGTGAAATACACTGAATGAACAGTTTGATGTTGGTTAATGGTCACATTACATGCATGCCTGTAGTAAGCCTTTTTTATTCAAAAGGTATTCTAATTTTACATTGTGACCAAGTGTGCCACACATCCTGAAAAGGTAAGCGAACACCTTGATCACCCCCTGGTGACTTGAATTGAAGCCAACTAAAAAAAAAAAAAAAAAAAAAAAAAAAAAAAAAAATCCAATTACACTTCAAATCATTTTCTTCTAAAGATGTCATTTCAGGTAGTTCTTACGCAGACTTATGTCCAAGTGTTTGTTTTACTAATGAGTTAGGTTGTAGTTTTAGGTGGACCAGTGCTTGCGTTGCATTCTGATACATTGACTATTTCAGCAATATTTTGGCTTCAATTTTCTAGTGTAACAAAGATGCTGTCCATCTTTTTTTTTTTTTTTTTAAATGTCCTTGATCATAAATACCTTTTGACTACAGTCACGTTACCCAAACAGACGCGTCAAAGCACAACACCCTTAGAAAACACTTGTCGATGTGCCCAACAATGGCCTTCAACAGTGACCGTATTCTGAATATAGTAGCATGGCGCCTCGTAGCTTTTTATATATTAAAAATATTTTTTTTTACCTTTGACGATAGTTCTAAAGTTGTCCTTTTCTCCATGGAAGGCATATTTGATGCTTTCTTCCTCCAGACTGACCCAATAAACTTTATGCTCTCTCAGGTCATAGTCCAGAGAGAAGACAGGCTTCCGTCCTGGTGTGATGAGAGCTTGAATATTGGCGTTTTGCAGACCCAACTTTAGCAGCTTGTACTGTTCAGAGACCAAAAGACTGGGCTCCTCTGCACAAACACAAGAAACACATAACATTAATGGAGTTAATACTTTTAATAGAGTAGAATATTAAGAAAAACAAACAAACAAACAAACTATTGGATCTCAATGTGGTCCAAGCACATTTCTGCTGTTTTCCAGTTGTGGAAATACACATGCAATTACTTCAATTATATTTTTGCCCCACATTAGAATTTCTTTGTGGTCGATTTCAGATGAGCAGGACACAGGTGAACTGTGGTTGTTCGCTTTACAAACAAATGGATTGATACCTGCCGCCTTGCAGCTGCGACCATCTGGCTCCAGTATAAATTCAGGGTGGCATCGACACAGGTAGGAGCCTAGCGTGTTGACGCAGTTATGACTGCAGGCAGCGGGCAGAATCTCTTTACATTCATCTATGTCATAGCAGGTTAAACCTTCAGACTGAAGCCTGAAGCCAGTCTTACAGCCACATCTCTGGAAACAAGGGAATATTTGAACATTACAGCGGATTGCATTTATATTCTTGCTCAAAATGCAATTACATATTAAGATGCTGAAATCATGATTGAAACATTAGGGACCAGATTTACAAACTGTTTACATTAGTGCATATCCACTTCTGGTTTAAAACTATCATGCTATCTGACAGCCAGCTCTGTGCATGTGCTTCGGATGCGTGTGCTTAGAAACCCATACAGACTATCATAAGTTTAAACTAATATGGGTTTAAAAACGCATGCAGATAATAAACTTTCATAATGAAGAACTGCAATGTACTGGAATAGAGAATCAAATCCAAACCAGTGTTTTAGTTTTTGGCAGAGTACGGAAGGCATGAGCAGTACAGTTCTGGAAAGTGGGGTAAGAGCAGTAGCTCATTTGCATTTAAAGATACATGTGCAAAATAACACGTTTTTCCTTCCACTCAAAAATAGGCATTTTCAACACAGTATAAATGAATTATCTGAGGTATTTTAAGCTGAAACTTCAGACATTTAAAAAGGGGCATGTGTCTCTTTAGACACAATATAGTGTTAGGCATGCAACCATAACGGTTTATGGTCACTTAAGACTTAACGACAATGTTTAAGCAAATCCTCGCCAAGCTGGGAATTGACATTTGTTTAACCATTTTAGACAAACACAAGGCTGTTCACTTTGCTACAGTGTTCTCCGTACACGCGCAAAGAAATAATAGCATAGCAGTTTTAATGACCCTTTTATTAAATCAAGCACATCCTGCAGTTTAGAGTAAGTTAACTGTCGTAGAATGTACATTACTACTAAAATCGCATTGCTCTAGTTTCTGGCTGTAGGGTTGCAGTCGTTGCAATGTCTCCGCTCTCCACAAATATGTTCCATATTTATTGTCTTTCAGACACCTGGTAGAACTTGTTCACTGGTAATTTGATAATAGCTTTACATAATCTGATTGGTGGTCTCTATAAAGTCCTATCGGCCGATAACGATCAGCACCAAATCAATCGGATCAACCATAGTTCTTTAATTTGTGCATTGACATTTGATCACCTGCAGACCTTTACACTCCCATTAGTGGATGGAGGGTTCACACTAATTTGATTTGAGTAAATCTGGCCCTAGGTATTATAAATATAATATGAAAAATTAAAGAAATGCTTGACCGCTCCATGTGGAGTGCTGAAGCAGTAGTGTTGACATGAAGGGCTGCTGGGACTGGAGCAGTTGTTCTTTAGACAGCCCACACCCTCATCAGAACCGTCTGCACAGTCAGAGCGCCCGTTGCACACCAGATTTGGGTCCACACACTCCTCACTTCCACACTGGAACAAGTGTGTTGGGCATTTCACTTGACCACCTACAAAACAAGCAAATGTTTACAACTTAGTATTATTGAAAGCATTCTGTTATGGAGTTAAGAATTGATTTTTAGACATGCACTCACAGCCAGATTCATCACTCTCGTCCTTGCAGTCCTTCACGCCATCACACTTCCACATCTTTGCAACGCATTGAGTTTTAGACGCACAGGACCACTGGAACTCTCCACACTTCAGCGGACTCACCTTGCAGTTCTAAACAGGGAGTGAAGAGTCTGTCTGATTGTATGGCACAGATTGATAACTTCGATTATATCCTTCCTACTCTGTTAAACAAATGTGCAAAAAAAAATTTCAAAATGTTCCCCAAAAACCAATGTTCGACAAAAGAGTCTTATCTGCCCTAAACTCACAACACTGGCAACTCAAACCAACAGAGCAATGTTGGAAATGCACTCAAACAACAACATGCAAACAACCACAAACAAAGACACCAAACAAACCACTAACAAAGACACCAAACAAACCACTAACAAAAAACTACAACCACCACAAACACAAAAAGCACACCACAAAATAGCAAAAACCCAAAAAATAAACAATGTGTTAAAGCATTAATTATAAAAAAACAAAAAAAACAAACAAACCCGGAAACAAAATTACAAATAGTACAAGTTCAAATGCACACAACACCGCAAACAAAATGGCACAAACTACAACAAAAACCCACAAACATAGTACAATAGTACAACCCACAAACATAGTACCCACAAACAAGTGTAAAAACACCACAGAAAACATTACCTATACACAACATCACTGTGTATAGATAGTGTTTTGCTGTTAAGGAAGAGTAGGTTTCTCTAGAACAAGACAGTCTCAGTGCGGCCCCTCACCCTCTCATCAGACCCATCACTGCAGTCCTGGTCTCCATCACAGAGCCACTCTTTCAGCAGGCACTCGTGAGTGTGAGGGCAGCGCTGCTCCACAGGACAGTGAGGCGGCTGAGCACAGCTCTTCTCATCAGAGTGATCACGACAGTCAGCGAACCCGTCACAGCGGAGGGACAGAGCCACACACTGACCGTTACTGCACTGGAAACGGTCACTTGAACACGGCTCCACCACTGCAGGACAAATACAGCCCAAGTGTAAGGAAAACGGTCCAAATACTGAACAAAGTCAATCATTAAAATGGTGTGTGTACAGGTTTATATTATATTGTAAAGCCTAAGATCACCTACTGTATATGGTGGGGACCAGCCAGCAGTCCCCATAAAGGAAATGGATTAATAAACTTACATAAACTCTGTATTTTACATTTTCAAAAAAAAGCTATTTTGTTTGTGATGGGTAGTTTTTGGGGTAATAATGATTTTTATATTGTACAAACTTTATTTTCTATTGAGAGTCCCCATAAGGATAGGGAAACAGTGCGTTACACATCATGGATGTGCTTGTGTTGCCATGCCACAGTTACTACACTGTTGTGTTGATGGTGATTTTACTTCATAAATTAATTCCCCATTATTTCCAATGTGTTCCCCAAATGCTGAGTGTGACATTCCCCCACACACTATCATAGGCTACAACCAGATATCATTCCAATTCATATATTTATTTATTTCATTTTTGCAGAGCTAGCAAAAGTCAAAGTCATTAAGTCTCACGCCATTTAGATGAACTTTGCCCTTAACCCTTATGGGGTCTCTGACCCGAAATGAAGGGAACGTTTGTTTTAACTTTAAAGTTGTGATTGATCTTGGACAAGTTCTTGGAACCGACACTACATTTATAGCCATTAACTCCCAAATGATGAACACTTCGTGCCGTTGACCTACCACAGTTGGCTTCGTCCGTGCCATCCACACAGTCTTTCTCTCCATCACAGAGGAAGGATTCAGGAAGGCAGCGGGTTTTATTGTCACACTGGTGTCTGCACTCCTCAGAGAGCTTCATGCAGTTGATCTCATCCGATCGGTCCTGACACTGAGGTGTGCCGTCACATACAAGCTTCATGTCTATACATTTCTTGCCATGAGCGCATTGGAATTGGCCTGGAGGTTTGAATTATTGAAATATGTAAAAGACTGTAAAACTGACCAAATTGACAATTGTATTTCTACTGCATACCTTTTTTACATTTACTTTCACAGTTCCTTTCATCAGATCCATCTTTGCAATCTTTCTCTCCATCACACACGTGGCTGTACAGGACACACTCTTTCCCATCCCTACAAGGCTTGGATCCCAAGGGACATTTCAGAGGCAATGAAGCACTTGCAACCACACTAGTGTCTGGGGAAAAATAAATCAATTCCCAATTTAAATGGTAACAGTCATCCAAAAATGACAATTCTATCATGCTCATTTTGTTCCAGACACATGACCAGACAAATGAATTTCAATCTGTTTCTCACATGAAGTTAAAATCTAGTATGACTTCTGAAGACTTCCAACAGCATATTTAATAAATTTTATAGAAAAAAAAAGGATTTAGCACATTAATTCTTTCTTTAGTGGAAAACAAAAAGCAATGTTTATTTGGGTTCTGATTCTTCTGAACAACATGCAAGTGATTAAATAAATGGTTCAGTAAATGATTACAGGTGTGAACTTACAACAGTTCTTCTCATCTGAACCGTCTCTACAGTCTGGTTTACCATCACAGAGCTGCTGTTTAGTCAGACACACCATCTTCTGGTCGCAACGTAAAGCACAGGTGGGACACTGTTGCTCATCCGACCCATCAGCGCAGTGCGGGTAACCGTCGCACACCAGGGTTCTCCAAACACACTGCCGTCTGTCCTTGCACAGAAACTGGTCTGATTGGAGTACAAAACCTTATCATTAAATGTACATGAACCATCATCCCATTTAAGAATAGAACAAATTCAACATGTTACCTGGATCTGGACATGAATGCATGCAAAACTGCTCATCTGCTCCACTCGGACAGTCTTTCTTCCCATCACATATTTGGGATTGTGTGATGCATTTTGAGGTTTCATGACAAAAAACAGAAGGGCTAATGCAGACTGGCTGAGTTGATATTTTGATCGATGGGCCAGTAATACGATCTAAAAAAACGTAATGAGCAAATTTAATATCTTAACCCAAATTAAATGCAAAATAAGTTGTTTTTAAACTGAACTAAAGCATTTTAATTAAGAAATCAGTTAAAACAATTACCACAGTTGTCTTCATCAGTGGCATCTACACAGTCTTTCTCTCCATCACAGAGGAAGTTTTCTGGGATGCAGCGAGTCTTGTTGTCACACTGGTGTTTGCAGTCATGCGAGCGAGTGAAACAGTCCATTTCATCAGAGCGGTCCTGACACTGAGGTGTGCCGTCACACACCTGCTTTCTGTCGATACACATCCTCCCATGAGCGCACTGGAACTGATCTAGGAGGAAACGTTTGGTTTAAATGTCACTTACACATGTCTTGGCTACATAAAGCAGTTACGAATCAGCTTCATGTGTTTTACCTGCTTTACACTTATATTCACAGCCCCGCTCATCAGATCCATCCTTACAGTCCCTCTCTCCATCACACACATGACTGTGCAGAACACACTCACGTCCATCCTCACAGGGTTTAGAGCCCAAACGACACTTTAACGGCCCCGAGGATGAGGTTTCAGCAGCCATGGTTGGACATCCCAGCTCATCTGAACCGTCAATGCAGTGAGCGTGACCATCACACACCAGATTCCCATCAACACACTTCCTCCTGTCCTTGCATAGAAAGTCACCTAAAAGTAAAATGAAAATTGTGAGATCTTTTATGTAATACAGCCATAGCTTGCACAATTAAGATCATATCCTTTGAGTACCTGAGTTCGGACATTTGTCAAAGCAAAACGTTTCATCATATCCATCAGGACAATCTCTTTTGCCATCACAGAGACTAGTGTGAGGGATGCACAGCGACCCATCACGACACAATACAGCAGGACTTTCACACTTCACAACCTTTGTGGGGTACCCTGCAGAAAAAAAATAAAGATTTTGAATAGACATGATTTAGCTCTGATTTTAGTTGAAATAATCAGTGTCAGAGACACCCACCACAGTCAGATTCATCAGTGCCATCCACACAGTCTTTCTCTCCATCACACACAAAGTTTTCTGGTATGCAGCGAGTTTTGTTGTCACAGCGATGGCTGCAGCTCTTGCTGCGTGTGAAGCAATCCCTCTCATCAGAAAAATCTTGACATTGTGGTCTGCCATCGCACACAAGCTTTGAGTCGATGCATTTCCTCCCATGGGCACACTGAAACTCCCCTGAGAAGCAACAAAACACAGTAAGACTGTGTATTAAAAACTGTCCTCATAGTACCAAGCTTAAAGGTAAGGTAACTTCTGTGCCACTACTGCCATACAAAAACTGATAAAAACTAATTAATATAGATGCAAGCAACAATTAAAGGGCAAAGCACCACAGAAGAATGAGGAGCTAAAAATCAAGGCAGCAAGTGTCAGACTGACTGCATAAATGAGAAAATGTTTAGAGGCGATTAAGCAAAATGGTGGATAGCCAATTAATACACTCACATGTAATGTGACAATTACTCATTACTTGACCCCAAATCAACCTGGTGTGGTCAGCCTCAGTTCCAGTTTGGCAGTATGCCAACAAATTCATTGACTGTGGCTGCAAGCGATTAGGCTGATACCCAAAATTGCTGATATAGGAACAGTGCATCTTACGCACCAAATATTAAGACCATTCAGAAGTTAAAACAAATACATTTCTTATGTCTCCTGAACACTAGGTGGCACTGCGCCAAAATTGCAGGTAATCCTTTGGTCATGAGTCAACACCAAGTTTGGTCTGAATACAATAAAGAGTTGTAAATATACCCTCGCATTCATTTCGGCATGCCCTTAATGGAGTCAGTTCATGCATTGCTCAAGAATTGCATGACTAAACTGGTTTTTCAGTCGACATGGTCAAACGTGTTTGAAACTGACATCACAGGGTGCAATCAAATTTGGTTTCTAGCTCTTACAGTTCAAAAGTCATCAGCATAAATGTGACCAACTCTGGACAGTTGGTGGTGTTAGAGGGATTGAGGTAGAGTCTAAATATACTGTGGTTAATGTTTATACTGTCCTCTATCTGTGTGCCAAATTTCACAACCTTTTACAATACAGTTCTATGGACAGGAAGTGGACTAATAGAAAGAAGAGGCAGATTAAAAGATGCAACAGTAATATAGAAATAAATTACCTATAATAATTTTCTTTACGTATATATTTGTTTGTTCCGTTATTTATGAAGTGTTGGTACAAAATCTTTGGTTTGACTACCTGTTTTACAATTAAAATCGCAGTCAGCCTCGTCCGATCCATCCTTACAGTCCCTCTCTCCATCACACACATGACTGTACAGGACACACTCAAGTCCATCCTTACAGGGTTTAGAACCCACGCGACACTTTATTGACGCCGTTGAGGTTGCAGCAGCCATGGTTGGACATCCCATCTCATCTGAACGGTCAAAGCACTGAGCACGGCCATCACACACCAGATCTCTCTTCACACACTTACTCCTGTCGTTACACATAAAGTCACCTGGCAGAAAAAGAGATAAGTTATAAAACAGCAAGAACTTTCTCAACAGTAATTAAATAAGTAAATGTGTTCATTACTGCGATATGGGCAGTTGCGGAGGCACGGTCTCTCATCAGAGCCATCAGGACAGTCTTTCATCCCATCACACAGATATCGCTGAAGGATGCATAGTGACGTCCCCTGACAAGCCACATAAGGGCTTTTGCACGGTGATGGTGGGGTCGGCATGGCTGCAACCGATTGTTAAACAAAAGATTATTTTTAAATAATTATATTTAATATTTGTTTCCATCCAAGTCAAAACTCTGACAATGTCAGACCATTCCTATTTAAAGTAATGTGACCCGCTACATCATTGAGTATCTATGACTCAAACGCATTGATTTGACTCCAGTGGTGCAAAAATGACTTGTCAGAGCCCACATGTAGGAGTAAATGTGTCATTTGTGACGTTCTCATAGCAGACTCACCACAGTCAGCTTCATCCGATCCGTCCAAACAGTTCCTCATACCATTACAGATGAACACCTCTGGGATACAACGGGTGTTCCCATCACAGCGCATGCTGCAGCTCTTGGTGGGTTTCCAGCAGCCTGCTTCATCAGAGTTATCTGGACACTGAGGAGTCCCATCACACACTTGCCGGAAGTCAATACACTTCTTTCCCTGAATACACTGAAACATCCCTGTGAATGAATAGCATACCAGAAAGATGAGCAAAGACGAAAAATAAAATGGGGTTAAGATCATGGTAACAGCTCACCAGGATTGCATTGAAGTTCACAATTTTCTTCATCAGAGCCATCCTTGCAGTCCCTCTCTCCATCACACACATGACTGTACAGGACACACTCACGTCCATCCTTACAGGGTTTAGAGCCCGGACGACACTTTAACGGCCCCGAGGATGAGGATTTAGGAGCCATGTAACAAGCCACCTCATCAGAACCATCAAGGCAGTGAGCGCGACCATCACACACCAGATTCCCATCAATACACTTCCTTCTGTCCTTACACAGGAAGTCATCTGGCACAATTTTACAGATGTCAGTGCTTTTCAACAGCAAATAAAAGCAAAGAATTACATTGAAGATCAAGCAGAGATTTACCAGGTTTTGAGCAAACATGAACGCACGAGACTTCATCAAAACCATCCGGACAATCTATCTTCCCGTCACAGAACAGAGTCTGGGAAATGCACAGTGATGTTCCTGGACACATCACGGATGGACTTCTGCAGGTCGGAGGTGAAGGTGCAAAACCTGAAATGTCTTTGTTCAGAGTCACCAAAATTACTTCCTCTCTGTAAGTCTCAGCTGTGAACATATGGATATCAGACATTCATCAACAAGGGTTAAACAGAATAAGCACGTTACATTTCAAATGACAGAGAGGTATTAAGTATCTTAAGTAGCCAAAAAAAAACAGAAAAAAAAAAAAAAACAGATTGGGGCAGGAAATGGGATTATTTTCAATGGGTTAGAACGGTAGGTCTAACCAAAAAAAAAAAAAAGTTTGGGAATCATTTTTCTTTGCAACTCGTTTTGGTGATGCAGATAGCTCATCTTTTAAGACCCCCTGAGGTGAAAATCAAGTTAATGTCTACATGTCTGGTGTTTTTAATATGCTTTAAAGGGGACTTTACCCATTTTTAAGTGCTATAATCGGTTCCCCAGTGCATCTACCAACCCAGAAAACATGAAGTGACAACCCACTAACTGTTTTGGGGAGCCTTTTTTTTGCAAGCACACAAATTGTTTGGTCGTTGCAGCACCGAACACTACAACCAAAAATCACAGCCGTCTAAAGGCCTCAGGGAACCGTTTCAACTTGCAAGTAGTGTCATATCTGGGGGTTATTATGAGCTGGAATTTCACAGACACATTCCAGGGACACCATAGATTAATTATTCTTTTTTAATAAGTGGCTAGACATTTCAATCGGTGTAAACAGAGCTTAGGCTTTCTTTCTCTGCTTTGAGAAAATCAAAGCTCAGACGCGCTGATCTTGAATCTCCTCCGTATGACGTCATACGACCCTTTCTCTGCTTTGTCCACCCAGAGACTTTCGCTTGCCCAAGAAAAAATGAGCTAGAAAGTACGAACGCTTGAGTGCGATTTGAGTTTTTCCTCAAGATATCATGGCTTACAAACAGGCGAAGCATGGTAGTTTCAGTGTTCGGATGTACAAATGAACAAAAAAGTATTTTCTAGTTCCTTCATCTGAGTCTCTGAAGAAACAATGGGTTAATTTTATTATCTCTGGAAATGCGCCAACAACTTCCCAAAGTTTTTTATGGCCCAAACATTCACAAATAACCGTTTACTCAACTTGGGCCAATACAAAGCTGGCCTCGATGAACGTCTGAAAATAAATCATTCGAGCTACAAAGCAACACTTTCTGATGTGTAACGTTAGCCTAATTGTTCAAGTTCAGACTTTAAATACTGGGTGGGGATAAATATAATAATGCATTGAACAAATGTCTCAATCTTTTGAAAACAAACTCACAGCAGTTGTCTTCATCAGTGGCGTCTACACAGTCTTTCTCTCCATCACAGAGGAAGTTTTCAGGGATGCAGCGAGTCTTGTTGTCACACTGGTGTTTGCAGTCGTGCGAGCGAGTGAAACAGTCCATTTCATCAGAGCGGTCCTGACACTGAGGTGTGCCGTCACACACCTGCTTTCTGTCGATACACATCCTCCCATGAGCACACTGGAACTGATCTAGGAGGAAACGTTTGGTTTAAATGTCACTTACACATGTCTTGGCTAAATAAAGCAGTTATAAATCAGCTTCATGTGTTTTACCTGCTTTACACTTATATTCACAGCCCCGCTCATCAGATCCATCCTTACAGTCCCTCTCTCCATCACACACATGACTGTACAGGACACACTCGCGTCCATCCTTACAGGGTTTAGAGCCCGGACGACACTTTAACGGCCCCGAGGATGAGGATTTAGGAGCCATGTAACAAGCCACCTCATCAGAACCATCAAGGCAGTGAGCGCGACCATCACACACCAGATTCCCATCAATACACTTCCTTCTGTCCTTACACAGGAAGTCATCTGGCACAATTTTACAGATGTCAGTGCTTTTCAACAAAAAATAAAAGCAAAAAATGACATTGAAGATCAAGCAGAGATTTACCAGGTTTTGAGCAAACGTGTACGCACGAAACTTCATCAGAACCATCCGGACAATCTATCTTCCCGTCACAGAACAGAGTCTGGGAAATGCACAGTGATGTTCCTGGACACATCACGGATGGACTTCTGCAGATGGGAGGTGAAGGCCTTTGTTCAGAGGCCTTTGCTCCGCCTTTGTTCAGAGTCACCAAATTTACATCCCTTCTTTTAGTCTCAGCTGTGAACACATGGAGATCAGACATTCATCAATAATGGTGAAACAGAATAAGCACATGTTACATTTCACATGCCAAGAGGTTAAGCAATAATACCTCTTAACTATATTTTAGCAAAAAAGCCAGAAAGGGTCAGGAAATTAGATTTAACATTATTAGTACAGATCATGGAAATAATAATAATAATTTAACAGGATATTGCACCTTTAAAAAGGAGCTGTAATCAAGATTGTGGCCAAAACTGTTACTGCAATCACTTTCAAATTGGGGTGTATCCCCACCTTCCACCCCTTGACTCAAGGTTGCCAGATATGCTGCAAGTTCCAGCAGGAATGTAATAAAGTATATCGGATTCATATTCACATTCGAGTTTTGGGGTTTCGCAACGTTAGAATTTTTTTAATCCGATTCTGACACGTTTGTATCTGCAGCTGAGGTAACTAGAGAAGAGCTAGCAACCCGAATGCCACAACACTACCGAGTCCTTGATTGGTAGATTGGTGGAGGGTGACGCATCAGAACAAAACACAACTTGACATCAACATCAGTCAAGGGCTGCGACTTCACTTTTTAAATTAGAATATCCTGGCCGGACTACTGTTAGTGATTTAAGTATTTGAAATGAACATGATTTCTTAATGTCTAGTGACATATCAGGGAAAATGTATGATTAATTGAAATAAATTTCTTGCGTACAGCTTCTTTAAAAGGCATGCATGTAGTTGTTGGTTTAGGGTTCCATACTAATCTGCAGTAGGTGAGAGTATTCTCTAAGGCATTGGAAGGGTTGATTTTGCTAGAAACCCTGTGGTGCGAACCAAAAATACACGTTTGTATGAGTTTGCAAAATTGACTCAACCAGTTCCAACCCAAACTAACCATTAAAAAAAAAAACGATAAAAAGTGGAATGTTTGGGAATCCTCTTTGAAAACAACCTTGGAAACTCGTTTTGGTGATGCTATTGGTTCACCGTTTGCTGAAAATCAAGCTATTCAATGTTTATATGTCTATGTATTGTTTTTAATGTGCTTTTAAACCAACCACATACAAATTTATAAGTCAACACCATTGGAGTATTTTCTCAAAACTGCAGTGAACCAAAGGGTCTCAGAGAACAGCAATTTCACAAACGCTATCGTAAGCAATCCTGTCAACATTGCCGATGGGCTTTTTCATATGTACTAATGGTGTTCTAATGGGTTGAGGACAGGACTCTGTGTGGGCCAGTCAAGTTCCTCCAGACAAAACACGCTCATCCATATCTTTATGGACCTTGCTTTGGTGCGCGGGTGCTTAGTCATGTTAGAACAGGAAGGGGAAATCTTTAAAATGTTCCCAAAAAGTTGGGAGCATGAAATTGCCCAAAATGTCTAGCTATGCTGAAGCTAGAAGAGTTCCCTTCACTGGAACTAAGGGGCCAAGCCCAACCCGTGAAGAAGAAAAAAAAAAAAAAAAAAAAAAAAAAAACACCATAATCCCCCCTCCACCAAACTTTACACTTGGCACAATGCAGTCAGGCAAGTCCAGTTCTCCTGGCAACCGCCAAACCCAGACTCGTCCTTCGGATTGCCAGACTTAAGTGTGATTCGTCACTCCATAGAACACGTCTGCACTGCTCTAGCGTCCAGTGACTGTGTGCTTTACACCACTGCATCCCACAATTTACATCAAGTGCAGTGCAAAGCGTGGGATGCAGTGGTATAAGGCTTGGATGCTAGTGCTCGGCCACTGAAACCCATTCCAAGTAGCTCTCTACGCACAGTTCTTGAGCTAATCTGAAGGACACACTAAGTTTGGAGGTCTGTAGCAATTGACTCTGCAGAAAGTTGGCGACGTCTGCACACCTCAGCTTGAACCCACTCTGTGATTTTACGTGGCCTACCACTTTGTGGCTGAGTTGCTGTTGTTCCCAATTGCTTCCATTTTGTTATACAACAAATAGTTGACAGTGAGTGGAATATTTAGAGGAAATTTCCCAAATGGACTTATTGCACAGGTGGCAACCTGTCACTAGCCTGGATGCCAGCCCGAACCCCGCCCACAAGATTTTTTGGTCTGGAAGTTCAGTCTGGACTCGATCCATTGAAGAGTAATTATGATCAGTAAAAAAAAAAATGGTCGGGCCAATCAAATTGCCAGGGTGGGCTTTATACAATGATGGACAGATGATCTGCAGTTACGTAATCAAAGAGCGCTTGGGTTGAACTGGTTTCCCTCAAAGATGACTGCATCTGGAAAATTGAGACGTAGAGATTCTGCTACTGCGTCCGTTTTAGAAGAAATCGACAGCGCATTATTGCAATTTTCTCTGTCTTTTAAAATTAAAGGCATTTGTCGATCGGAAAGAGGTGTTTGGCGTCCTTCCTACAGGATTTGGCAAAAGTTTAATTTATCAGCCGGATCCGATGGCCACTAAGAAGATGGGCTGCTTTGTTATAACTACTACTCACACACCATACTGATAGTCACTGTACCCCTTAAAAGCGGTGTATTTTTAAAAAAGATGCTAGTCATCATTTTGTATTTAAATCTTCATTAAATAAGTCATTAAAACTTAATTTTGGCTCCCGTTTTTTTTGTCTCTGAAGACTCAAATGAACGCTTCTTCAGCCTGGTGTTTAACGTTTTCTATCCATTTATTAAAATCAGTCAAGTCACGCTCCAAAGTGTTGAGACAGGTCCAACAAATGTGAGCAGATTTGTTGGCTTTATTGTCGATATATAATTCTAAACGGAGAACTAGTTCGTATGTTACATTCACATTTTTTATTTAGTTCAAAAAGGTTTGTGTTTAAGTACTCCACAAATCTTTGAATTGTTTTTGCAACACCAAAGGTCGTTAACTCATTTTTCTTTTAAATACTTTTTCCAGAGTGCGTGCAGTTCAGTTGACAATTATGAGTTACTCAACCCGCACAATTATCACTTATCACTCGCTCAACATGCATCACTTACTGCGTTGCTCTGATTGGTTGTAGGTCTAGCCAATTGAGTGCAGAGGTTTGGTTAAGACGCGCTACATAATCAAACCTCTATAGAGCAGTATCAGACTCGCATTCTGATTAGAACACAAGTATGACGAAGTCACGCTAACCCGTCACAGTACCACGCATGAATTCACTGAGCTCCTGAGAGCGACCCATTCTTTCACAAACGTTTGTAAAAGCATCTGCATGACTAGGTGACTGACTTTCTACAACTGTGGCCATGGAAGTGATGAAACGCCTGAATTCGATGATTTGGCGTGGTGTCCCAATACTTTTGGCAATAGTGTATATGGCTGAATTAAACCAGTATTCCCACAAGTAAACGCTGCAGAATGGACATAGTAAGGTTGATTGAGTAAAAGGGTAGTTCGAGCTAGTGTAATTCTGGTGGAGGTGAGACTAATTTGCAGATTCATGGTTTCGACATATATTAAATGAAGGGTGTAGAATTGCATCCAAGCTTTAAGAAATTAACAGAATTTCTCTCCAAATTTGTCATTTTGGTGATTAAAGAGAAGGAGTTCAAAGGGATACAATTATTGACCACAGGGGGACTTTAAATACTAGGTGGGGATAAATATAATAATGCATTGAACAAATGACTGTCTCAATCTTTTGAAAACAAACTCACAGCAGTTGTCTTCATCAGTGGCGTCTACACAGTCTTTCTCTCCATCACAAAGGAAGTTTTCTGGGATGCAGCGAGTTTTGTTGTCACACTGGTGTTTGCAGTCGTGCGAGCGAGTGAAACAGTCCATTTCATCAGAGCGGTCCTGACACTGAGGTGTGCCGTCACACACCTGCTTTCTGTCGATACACAGCCTCCCATGAGCGCACTGGAACTGATCTAGGAGGAAACGTTTGGTTTAAATGTCACTTACACATGTCTTGGCTACATAAAGCAGTTACGAATCAGCTTCATGTGTTTTACCTGCTTTACACTTATATTCACAGCCCCGCTCATCAGATCCATCCTTGCAGTCCCTCTCTCCATCACACACATGACTGTACAGGACACACTCACGTCCATCCTTACAGGGTTTAGAGCCCGGACGACACTTTAACGGCCCCGAGGATGAGGATTTAGGAGCCATGTAACAAGCCACCTCATCAGAACCATCAAGGCAGTGAGCGCGACCATCACACACCAGATTCCCATCAATACACTTCCTTCTGTCCTTACACAGGAAGTCATCTGGCACAATTTTACAGATGTCAGTCCTTTTCAACAGCAAATAAAAGCAAAGAATGACATTGAAGATCAAGCAGAGATTTACCAGGTTTTGAACAAACATGAACACACGAGACTTCATCAGAACCATCCGGACAATCTATCTTCCCGTCACAGAACAGAGTCTGGGAAATGCACAGTGATGTTCCTGGACACATCACGGATGGACTTCTGCAGATGGGAGGTGAAGGTGCAAAACCTGAAACGCCTTTGTTCAGAGTCACCAAATTTACATCCCTTCTTTTACTCTCAGCTGTGAACACATGGAGATCAGACATTCGTCAATAATGGTTAAACAGAATAAGCACATGTTACATTTCACATGCCAATAATAAGACCACTACTGTACATAAATTAAGTACATAGCAGCAAAAAAGCCAGAAAGGGTCAGGAATTGTGATTTTCAACATTATTAGTGGAGATAAGGGAAGAAATAAAATTAACAGGACATTGCACCTTCAAAAGAATCTTGGTAGAATACTTTCACCTACTCAATTTGTATGGAACAGTAAACCAAGACATTGGCAGATTGATTAAGCTAGAAACAGTGGTAATAATAATAATAATAAAAAAATAGCAGAATGTTTGGGAATCCTTTATAAAAAAAAAAAAAAAAAAAAAAAAAAAAAAAAAAAAACATGGGAAAACCTTTGCAGCTGGTTTTGGTGATGCAGATAGTTCACCTTTAAGACCCCCTGTGGTGAAAATCAAGCTATTAAATGTTTGTCTATCCCTGAATCTCAAAGTCCATATAATCTATCCTAAACGGCATGCAAGATAAGTAGTGTCACAAAGCATAATATGTTGAAAAGTATGTCAAAAGTCCCCGGATGGTCAACTATTTCTGGTGGATTTACAAGTGTGGATAAGGCCCATATTGCCACAATCCATTGCATTTGAGGAACTACAAAAAAACCAAAACAAAACCTAAAACAGATGTGAAACCAACAGTGAGAGGGTTTAAAAAAAATAAAAAATATATAAAAATAAAAACTTGGATTAGTTTCATATTGCATCTGCAATAATGTGGACTTGTATAAAAGATCCTTTTGGCCATTAAATTTCAAATGCATCTTTATGCATTAATATGAGGAGAGTTCACTGCATGAAAGACCCACGACTGCAGAACAATGTGCTACTACTGCACTTATCAATAAGGTAGGAAATTAAGGAGGATTTTAACTGTGATGACATGTTTGACAGGCCAGTTAACTGTGAAAGCAGGCAACAGAGCAAACGTTAGACAAGCTTTGGGACACACCATCATGTCATACAATTCTCTATTTTCGTGTAGAAAAAGTAGATGCTTTTGAGTGTAGCAAAAAGGAGTACATATTTTAGGGTGTAGTATTAAAGGCGTAGAATTGAGACAGTAAATCAGTTTTTAATTGCTTTAACACAAATCAAGAGCAAATCCATAAGTCAGCACCATTGCAGAGTATTTTCTCCTTAAAACTGCTGTGAAACAAAGTCAGTCTCAAACACCGTTTGAAATTGCTTTTCTCTGTCACAAATGCCGTCACAACGAATGACGTCAACGTGTCGAAAGGCTTTAGCTTATTAACTGCTACGAAGCAGAGATGTCTCAAGAGAAGCCAGGTTATGCTGGTATATTTTTCTGTGTATAAAAATAATTCACCCGCTATATTGCCAAGTCTACCTGAATTTTCATACGAGTATTAGAACATCAGTGGAAAGGCATATAACATTGAGAGTTGTTTAAAGCGTTTCTGAACTATAAGGATGCGAATTTAGGCTAAAACGCACTACCATTTTGATACCTAGATTGAGTGAAACAGGTAGTCCAAGCTGGTGTAATGCAGGGTGGAGGTGGGTGACTAATTTGCAGATTTATGGTTTACACGTATATTAAAAGATAGGGTGTTGTAGATTTACGTTCAAGATTTAAAGGAAGAAATTATTATTTCACAGAAAAAAAAGTTAGTTATTTTGGTGATTAAAGGGAGTTCTAAAGGGTTAAACTTATTGACTACAGGGGGACTTTAAATACTAGGTGGGGATAAATATGATAATGCATTGAACAAATGACTCAATCTTTTGAAAACAAACTCACAGCAGTTGTCTTCATCAGTGGCGTCTACACAGTCTTTCTCTCCATCACAGAGGAGGTTTTCTGGGATGCAGCGAGTTTTGTTGTCACACTGGTGTTTGCAGTCGTGTGAGCGAGTGAAACAGTCCATTTCATCAGAGCGGTCCTGACACTGAGGTGTGCCGTCACACACCTGCTTTCTGTCGATACACATCCTCCCATGAGCGCACTGGAACTGATCTAGGAGGAAACGTTTGGTTTAAATGTCACTTACACATGTCTTGGCTACATAAATCAGTTATGAATCAGCTTCATGTGTTTTACCTGCTTTACACTTATATTCACAGCCCCGCTCATCAGATCCATCCTTGCAGTCCCTCTCTCCATCACACACATGACTGTACAGAACACACTCACTTCCATCCTTACAGGGTTTAGAGCCCTGACGACACTTTAACGGCCCCGAGGATGAGGATTTAGCAGCCATGTAACAAGCCACCTCATCAGAACCATCAAGGCAGTGAGCGCGACCATCACACACCAGACTCCCATCAATACACTTCCTTCTGTCCTTACACAGGAAGTCATCTGGCACAATTTTACAGATGTCAGTGCTTTTCAACAGCAAATAAAAGCAAAGAATTACATTGAAAATCAAGCAGAGATTTACCAGGTTTTGAACAAACATGTACGCACGAAACTTCATCAGAACCATCCGGACAATCTATCTTCCCGTCACAGAACAGAGTCTGGGAAATGCACAGTGATGTTCCTGGACACATCACGGATGGACTTCTGCAGATGGGAGGTGAAGGTGCAAAACCTGAAACGCCTTTGTTCAGAGTCACCAAATTTACATCCCTTCTTTTAGTCTCAGCTGTGAACACATGGAGATCAGACATTCGTCAATAATGGTTAAACAGAATAAGCACATGTTACATTTCACATGCCAATAATAAGACCACTACTGTACATAAATTAAGTACATAGCAGCAAAAAAGCCAGAAAGGGTCAGGAATTGTGATTTTCAACATTATTAGTGGAGATAAGGGAAGAAATTAAAATTAACAGGACATTGCACCTTCAAAAGAATCTTGGTAGAAAACTTTCACCTACTCAATTTGTATGGAACAGTAAACCAAGACATTGGCAGATTGATTAAGCTAGAAACATTGGTAAAAAAAAATAATAATAATAATAATAAAATAGCAGAATGTTTGGGAATCCTTTATAAAAAAAAAAAAAAAAAAACTCGGAAAACCTTTGCAGCTGGTTTTGGTGATGCAGATAGTTCACCTTTAAGACCCCCTGTGGTGAAAATCAAGCTATTAAATGTTTGTCTATCCCTGAATCTCAAAGTCCATATAATCTATCCTAAACGGCATGCAAGATAAGTAGTGTCACAAAGCATAATGTTGAAAAGTATGTCAAAAGTCCCCGGATGGTCAACTATTTCTGGTGGATTTACAAGTGTGGATAAGGCCCATATTGCCACAATCCATTGCATTTGAGGAACTACAAAAAAACCAAAACAAAACCTAAAACAGATGTGAAACCAACAGTGAGAGGGTTTAAAAAAAAAAATAAAAAATATATAAAAATAAAAACTTGGATTAGTTTCATATTGCATCTGCAATAATGTGGACTTGTATAAAAGATCCTTTTGGCCATTAAATTTCAAATGCATCTTTATGCATTAATATGAGGAGAGTTCACTGCATGAAAGACCCACGACTGCAGAACAATGTGCTACTACTGCACTTATCAATAAGGTAGGAAATTAAGGAGGATTTTAACTGTGATGACATGTTTGACAGGCCAGTTAACTGTGAAAGCAGGCAACAGAGCAAACGTTAGACAAGCTTTTGGGACACACCATCATGTCATACAATTCTCTATTTTCGTGTAGAAAAAGTACATGCTTTTAAGTGTAGCAAAAAGGAGTACATATTTTAGGGTTTAGTATTAAAGGCGTCGAATTGAGAAAGTAAATCGGTTTAATTGCTTTGAAACACAAATCAAGAGCAAATCCATAAGTCAGCACCATTGCAGAGTATTTTCTCCTTAAAACTGCTGTGAAACAAAGTCAGTCTCAAACATGGTTTGAAAATGCTTTTCTCTGTCACAAATGCCGTCACAACAAATGACATCAACGTGTCGAAAGGCTTTAGCTTATTAACTGCTACGAAGCAGAGATGTCTCAAGAGAAGCCAGGTTATGCTGGTATATTTTTCTGTGTATAAAAATAATTCACCCGCTATATTGCCAAGTCTACCTGAATTTTCATACGAGTATTAGAACATCAGTGGAAAGGCATATAACATTGAGAGTTGTTTAAAGCGTTTCTGAACTATAAGGATGCGAATTTAGGCTAAAACGCACTACCATTTTGATACCTAGATTGACTGAAACAGGTAGTCCAAGCTGGTGTAATGCAGGGTGGAGGTGGAGGCTAATTTGCAGATTTATGGTTTACACGTATATTAAAAGATAGGGTGTTGTAGATTTACGTTCAAGCTATTTTAAGGAAGAAATTTTATTTCACAGAAAAAAATAAATAAAAGTTAGTCATTTTGGTGATTAAAGGGAGTTCTAAAGGGTTAAAATTATTGACTACAGGGGGACTTTAAATACTAGGTGGGGATAAATATAATAATGCATTGAACAAATGACTGCCTCAATCTTCTTAAAACAAACTCACAGCAGTTGTCTTCATCAGTGGCGTCTACACAGTCTTTCTCTCCATCACAGAGGAAGTTTTCTGGGATGCAGCGAGTTTTGTTGTCACACTGGTGTTTGCAGTCGTGCGAGCGAGTGAAACAGTCCATTTCATCAGAGCGGTCCTGACAATGAGGTGTGCCGTCACACACCTGCTTTCTGTCGATACACATCCTCCCATGAGCGCACTGGAACTGATCTAGGAGGAAACGTTTGGTTTAAATGTCACTTACACATGTCTTGGCTACATAAAGCAGTTACGAATCAGCTTTATGTGTTTTACCTGCTTTACACTTATATTCACAGCCCCGCTCATCAGATCCATCCTTACAGTCCCTCTCTCCATCACACACATGACTGTACAGGACACACTCACGTCCATCCTTACAGGGTTTAGAGCCCGGACGACACTTTAACGGCCCCGAGGATGAGGATTTAGCAGCCATGTAACAAGCCACCTCATCAGAACCATCAAGGCAGTGAGCGCGACCATCACACACCAGATTCCCATCAATACACTTCCTTCTGTCCTTACACAGGAAGTCATCTGGCACAATTTTACAGATGTCAGTGCTTTTCAACAACAAATAAATAAAAGCAAAGAATTACATTGAAGATCAAGCAGAGATTTACCAGGTTTTGAACAAACATGTACGCACGAGACTTCATCAAAACCATCCGGACAATCTATCTTCCCGTCACAGAACAGAGTCTGGGAAATGCACAGTGATGTTCCTGGACACATCACGGATGGACTTCTGCAGGTCGGAGGTGGAGGTGCAAAACCTGAAACGCCTTTGTTCAGAGTCACCAAACTGACATCCTCTCTGTTAGTCTTAGCTGAGAAATTTCAAATGAAAAAAAAAAAAAGTTCATAGTTATGTTTAGCATGAAATAATTTCATAGGCTAGGAACTGTTTGTGAATGCAATCTTCATGAAATGTTGATCATTGGGCAGGGTTTGCTAAACTGGGATGGGTGAACCCCTGGAGGTTGGTGAGCGAACTGCAGGTGTTCATGAAAAGCTAATTAAATCATAAATATAAAATAAACAAAATATATACATGCACAACTTACTAAAAATTAACAAATACTTTAATACAATGCATGCATACCTGCATGTCATGTGACCATTAACTATCAGAGAACAAGCACATTTTGCTTTTGACTAAATATTAACTCATTTATGTTATGTATCCCCTGAGATTTATCTTTTAGATTAGAGGTTCGGCTGACCAAAAAATAAATAAATAAATAAGAGAAAAAAAGGTGGCATACAGTAGAGTGATGAACTCTCTGTAAATGGGGTTCCCACACCTTTTGACCAGTGAGCCAATGCCAACTAAAAAATATCAATAGATAAATGAGTCAATACAAATTAACCTCAATCTTTTTAAAAACTCACAGCAGTTGTCTTCATCAGTGGCGTCTACACAGTCTTTCACTCCATTACAGAGGAGGTTTTCTGGGATGCAGCGAGTTTTGTTGTCACACTGGTGTTTGCAGTCGTGCGAGCGAGTGAAACAGTCCATTTCATCAGAGCGGTCCTGACACTGAGGTGTGCCGTCACACACCTGCTTTCTGTCGATACACATCCAATGATCACACTGGAACTGATCTAGGAGGAAACGTTTGGTTTATTTAGCCAAGACATGTGTAAGTGGCATTTAAAGCAGTTACGAATCAGCTTCATGCGTCTTACCTGCTTCACACTTATATTCACAGCCCCGCTCATCAGATCCATCCTTACAGTCCCTCTCTCCATCACACACATGACTGTGCAGAACACACTCACTTCCATCCTCACAGGGTTTAGAGCCCAAACGACACTTTAACGGCCCTGAGGTTGAGGTTTCAGCAGCCATGGTGGGACATCCCATCTCATCTGAACCGTCAATGCAGTGAGTTTGACCATCACACACCAAATGTCTCTCCACACACTTACTTCCATCATTACACAGGAAATCATCTGGAAGAACAAAGAATTTTCAATTTAAATTTCCTGCAGTCTATTGATCTTTCCACACCAAATCAGAAAAAAAACCAATAAAAACTAAAAGGCACAAAAAGCAAAGCTACACGGAAACAACCAAATCACACAGAATCAATGTTAATGCCATTGAAATACTGCAGCAGACCGATGACATCTCAGATCATTTAGTCTCGCATAAACTTAATTTAGCCAAGGCTGCAGAGCCAACGCCATGTTACACATGTTAGACCTATCAATTTTGTCACTGATCTAGCAGATAATTAATCAATCAATCTTTAGATTCATCATCTCAGCATCCAAGATTGCTTAGAACTCGATATTGCGACAAACTTTTAACTGTCCCTTTTCCTGTACTTTAGACACAGTTGCGCCAACGCGCTTAAAGATAAAAGAATAGTCCAACACCGTGGTATGAGTACACTCGTCCCTTAAGAGAGCAGCCAGAAAAATGGAGCACAACTGAAAGAACACTAAACTAGACGTACTTCATATTTCATGGAAGGTGAGCTCGACTACATACAGAGAGGCCTTAAAAGCTGCTAGATCTGCTTATTTTCAACCCTATTAGAAGAAAATAAACAAAACCCAAGGTATTTATTTGAAACAGTGGTTATACTAAAGAAAAATAAAGCTTCAAGCCAAGAAGTTCCCAAGCAGCACAGCAGTAATGACTTTATGAACTTCACTTATAAGATTGATATCAGGGAGAAAATTATAACTATGCAACCGTCTCTACTACAGTATAGCATCAGGGAGTGCATTGTAGTGTCCCTAAGGAAAGATTTGATTCATTCATTGCTATTAGGAGAGGAAGAATTTTTGAAACTAGTTAAATCTAAAATCGACAACATGTTAGACCCCATACCGACTAAGCTAATTAAAGATGTTCCCAGAGGTCAAAGTTCATATCATTAATTCATATTTGTCTTTAGGATACATACCAAAAAGTTAAACTGGCTCTGATTCAACTGATTATGTGTATACATATATAAAAAGATCCTACAGTCAATTATAGGCCGATCTCTGTTATTTACAGGTACGTTAATGAAGCGTTAAAGGGATAGTTCACTTTGAAATTAATTTTGATATGTTTTAGCTTACCTTAAGGGCATCCAAGATGTAGGTGTCTGTTTCCACAGTATTTTCAATTTTTATATTTTTTGGTCAAACCGTTCTTCTCCGTCAGTCATGTAATGGAGGTATATGGGGTAACCTAGTGTCAACAAGTGGATTCAGAGCCACCGCAATGGCAGCGCCGGAGGTCGCCATGTCTCAGTGGTTTTATGTGTGTTGTGATATTACTGATGATATGAAGATTTTGCAGTGGTGCTGAAAATCCAATGGCTAAATACATTGTAGGGGAAACACTGCAATCAATATGCAAAATCCCTTTTGCATGCACGCTCGCTTTTTAATTTCACTACCGAATTCCCAACACACTTACTCTGCTTATGGGGAGCGGCGGTACGGACCACACATTTTACAAGATAAGATTTATCAATGAAGCTAAAGATCCATTGTGCGCCAAATACTCCAACATCTCTCCTTACTATTGACACGCAAGTTAAAGCTGATGTACTGTAATATAAATAACTACCACAGCAAACCTAACCAGGTCTTTATAGGAGCTCCATAGAATGCATCCATTTTCAGTGCCTTTTTGCATTCAGATTTAGCCTTTGGGCACATCCCTAGTTAATAAGATTACCTTTTATTTTTGTGTGAACTATGCCTATAATAAAATCATACCTGGCTTTGCACACATGTCCAAACATGAAGTCTCATCAGACCCATCCGGACAGTCCTTCTTCCCATCACACCGCTGAGATCGACTGATACACACCATTGAGCCCTGACAAAAGATTAGAGGACTCTTGCAAGTCACCTCAGTAGGATGAACATCTTCAGTCATCTTATCTGAAGTGCAAACAAAACTAAGTAAGTAAGTGTAGCATAAAATCCACGCAACATGAAACCCAAGAACATTACAGACCTTGTTGGACTTCCCTGAGCGCAACAGATAAGCTTACAACTCCTTTCTCGACAGCAACCCCAGAGACACGAGATCCATCTTTACGACTCCAAACGGTTAGGACGTTATTGAACAATGCCACCATGTAGGGTTCATAAGCAGCCACGATGGAGCCAGGAACGACCCAGTCTAAACCAGCAGAGTACTTCCTCATCTTCAATAGACTCATAACCTGCAAGTCTAAAGCAAACATAACATTCAGCTGAAGTACATGAAAGCCAGTAGTTTTGACAAATGGTCAATTCAGAAAGAGGACACTCACAAGACTCCATGTTCCAAAGGAAGCCATTCGCTTTTCTGTCAAACACAATGCTGTCGACCCCACTGTCCTCAAAGCTGAAGATAGATTCTGCTCTTCCACCAATCAGACCCAGTTTCATTCTCATGATCTGAGCTCCCTCTAGCCAGTACAGCTTTCCTCTCTGCCAATCCACGAACAGGTCTAGGATCGCAGTTTTGGCTTGATATAGCTGCCTAGAAATGCTTTGGTCAAGGGGGCCAATGGTTGAAACGCCAATGGAAAGTTCATCACATGCCAACCAATACAGATTGCCGGTTCTCTGGTCAACTCTGACAACGCAGGCTAAGGGAAGAGACAAAGCAAGTCAGAATTACTCATGAGCTGGAATTATCAGTGGGAATGAATGTAGTGTAACCAATAAAAAACATTTTGCTTGGGAGTACATGTATGGGAGTGCACGTATGAATTTTCATACGTTTAGTATTTTCCAAGATAAAAAGTATTTTCAAATATCAAGAATTAACTCAAATAGAAGTACAGAAATGACACATCACATGACATTAAAATCTGAATTATACATTCAATGTCATGTAAAAAAAATAAATAAATAAAGGGATTAAATACTGAATCAGTTAACTTTCCAAGCAAAATAGATCAAACTACTATTTTTTCATTCTTTCAATGAGGATTTTATCCATCATATGTTAACATATATCTTATGTTAAATGGCAACAACTTACCAGGTTTTAAAGTCAGAATGTACTCTGATAAGTCTTGAGAATGCATGTTCAGCTTTACGTGGCCTGTCCCATTAGACCAAACCAGACATCCTCGCCGCCAGTACATGTCAAAGGACTGGATGTTTTGATCCGAAGTAAAGAGCTCAGTTTTCACAGGAGTCTTTCCAGCAAACTCCAAACTGTATATGGTTGTGGCTGTTGCATAGGCAACTGCAAAATCTGACAAAGACGAGAGATTATACAAATCATCAAAAGCCAAGTTATAGGCCAATCTTAAAACAAATGCCTAATATTAAAATGTTGAATAAACACACACTTTCGCAAGATCCCCAAGACATTGGCAACGTTCCCTCAGGACACAGACAGGTGAATCCAACAGCACTTTTCTTGGAGGGCAAACACAGCTGGCATCCTGAGTTCTTACATGGTGTAAAACCTACATGGAAACAATATTTAGATGAGGCTTTAGCTAATGACGAGGTGTAACCACAAGGGGTGTGTGATATTGACAAATTCAATATTTTCTGGGATTATGTTGATAATGATAAATTTATATTTGAGGAGCTGTTTTATTGGGCCAGTCCTGGGTAGGTTTAGGACTGCCTAATTTGTGCGGTGGTTGTGGCACTAAAAAGCAGTTTAAGACAACGCTTGCACGGACGAGTCTTAATCGAGGTCTTAAACAGTTGCAAATTGAATGCTTATCAGATCTGCACCATGTTTCATAGTCATCTCACACCCTTGGTAAACACTGATGAATTCAGCAAGGCGTTTAGAAAAAGTATTTCACCTTGGGGTTGCTGAAGCGCATGGTAGACGTTCAGGACAGGAAGCGAGGCTTTTAGGATGAATCCATCTTGGTTGACAACAGACATATTTTGAGGAGTCTGCCAGAGTTTATCATCAGCCCAGTAGAACCAGCCATTAAATACAGCCAGAGTCTGAGCACGATTTCCTGGAAAGACACCCACAAAGGTGTGCCGCCCAGTGCCATCTGTCCTGATGCTCTCAATTGACTGGAACATCAATTTAACAAAGATCTCAAAATAGGCAAAAATCAACACATTTCACAAACAAAATTAGGATTTTCCCAAATGCAACACACCATTTTGTAAACACTGATCCAATACAGCCGCTGTGCAGCCACATCCAACACAAGACTTCTTGGTAACTGTGCAGTAACGTACAACAGTGTTGTCCGATTCGAACCATCCATTTCCGCCCTCTCAATGGTTATTTCTTCATTCGTTGCTTTATTAATCCAAAATATGAAACTACGCAGAGGACAAAAAAGCCAGATTTAATGGTGCTCCTCAAATCTGCACTAAGGTGAGAAGCAGTTTGTACCTCTCGATTGGGCTGAGGACCATGTCGCTTGGGTCCATTTCTTTGGACATGACAATGCCTAGAGCACTACCATCAGCTGCACCAGTATAGATTGCTTTCTGTGTAACGCTCGCCCAATACAGCTGTCCAGTGAGCCAGTCGACGGCTAGACTCTTCACACCGGACTGCCCTAATAAGTGGGGAATAAAAACACAAGCATTACAAATTTTTGGTCATGGATTTAGCAAAAATCCCTCACAATAACTAACCTGAATACATAATCGTGCTCCTTCGGTTATAAGCTTTGTAGATATTCCCATTTTGATCAGCCCAGTAAATGAAGTTCCTCTGGATATCATAGGTTATGGCTACAGTTTCATTTTCACTTGCAAAAAGTGGTTCAAACACTCTGGTCTTCACATTCACTAACCCAATCAGTCCTTCCCTAATTGTCAAAATCTTCAACACGGCTCCTTAAAAAAGAAAAAAAATAACAACATTAGGCTATCGGTATTGTGCCTACTTTTTTTTTTTACTTCTAAAATCTGAAGATGTAGGTCATAAGTTACCTTGAGCCTCACATGAGCCATTGCCAAGAGGTTTGAAACCATTCTGGCACAGACAGCGAAAAGACCCTGGTGTATTAGAGCACAAGTGCATGCAAGGTCCAAAAGACTGTTCACACTCATTGACATCTGGAATATAATACAACATAAAATTGTTATTTTACCACACTACATTCATGTAAAATCAATTATTCTAAAACTGACACTAATGGTCACATGTGGAAGATGACTTTTTCAATACAAAAGGTAATGTTTGGAAGTAACAGTATACAGACTACCGCATACATACTTCAATCTATCTATAAGTTAGCATTGCTGTTGTTGAGAAGTCAAAATGTGATAGCATCATGCTAAATCATGTTAGCGAACAGGTTAAAAACATGCTAACACATGTTAGCAATAAGCTAACCATGTTAGGCTATCATGCTAATTGCTTTAACATGTTGTCAACAATGTTATTTTGTGTTATATGCCAGCCTCATGCTAAAGAGAATTATGCTAAAACACCCATATATATTTCAGAATATTGTGGATAAATGTGTGAGCTTTTTTTTTGTCTCAGGGCAGTGTGGTTGTGCACTGCAAGCAAAGCACCGGCCGTTTTCTTTAGAAAATTTACATCTAGTAATTAAGCAACGGTTTGTCAAATTTCATTAGTCCATAAAACAGTGTAGACACTGCATTGCTTTTCTGTATGACTTGTATGCGTGCTACTCCAAATACAACCTGCTTAGAGGCACAAATGTAACGAGTACCTTCACAATCAAGTCCGTTAGCAGAAAGGGTCATTCCAGTGGGACAAGAGCACAGGGCTCCCCAAGGCTGGTCAATGCAAGAATGGCTACAGCCACCATTACCATTATGACAAGTTTTACCTAGTTAAAAGAGAAACATGAAATCCAAATAATAAAAAACAAGTAAACAAAAGTAATATACATAAACCAAAATGAAACCAAGCCAATAACTAAAAACAAACACCTAAACAATAAAAAAAACTAAAATAACTAAAACAAATATAAGCCAACCTGTTGTTGGAGAAATGCTGCATGATCAAATTCAAACATACGTCAAAACAAAATAAACAACATTGCGAGTCTCCATGTACCACACGTAAGAGGCTCATCTCTCCTATCCGAGCACTGGGCGACTCCATCACACCTCTCTCTCTGGCTTATACACTTGCCATCAGCACAGCGCATGCTCATCTTCCCACAGGAACCTACAACACATCAAAAATGTAGAACATCAATCTTAGAGATCATCAATAAAAAGGACATTATGATAGTCTAGATATTAACAGTAATGCTGTATAGCATAAAGGGTGTGGTTTTTAAAACTTTTAAAACACAAAGATTCCATCGGCTTGCATATTGTGAGTGCAATATTCAAAGTTCAGACACAATCATACACCAATGTACCCTTATTATCAGTAATTCCAGTCTTACTACCTGCTCGAACCAACAAAGGATTGTAACAAATTTTCATAATGCCAGCCTATGTCTTCATTGGCAGCATCTACTTTGACCCTCAAACATGTTGTAGCAGAGACTGGAAGGCTGCATAAAAGTGATAAGTCCGAATTCAAGGTCCTCATAAGTAGGTAAAAAGTCCTGGGATGCATACAATGAACACTTTACTGTCATATGAGGCCATGGGAGAGGAATATGAGAAAATTAAAGTGCATATTTTGACCATGAATGGAGGAATCTTTAAAATGGCAAATTACATGAATAGCAAAATCAAAATAGCTAATTATTTTTCTTCATTTCCACCAAATACAACTATATGAATCTTTTCCATTCAATTTAGCATATGTGAACAAATTCCCCAAATTTCCCTTCTTTTAAGATTCTGATAAACAGAGCTGGTCACTTCTTGTATTTACTTTAACCAAGTGGTACAGCAATTTAAAAAGTCCAAGTCCCTAATGCAATGACATTCATGCATCATATAACAAGAATTTACACTTCTAGAGCATCTCACCACACAATTCTTCATCAGAGCTATCGCCGCAGTCGTTGACGTCATTGCAGAGAAGGTCTCGTGGGATGCAGACCTTGTTCTTGCACTTCCAGTCACCCGAGAGACACCCTAAACGCCAGCTGCAATCCCACTCATCTGAAGCATCGGGACACTGGGGCCGCCCGTCACACACATCCGACCCAGGCACACAACCGGAGCCATCCGCACACTCAAAATCCCCTGCTTGACATACTAATGGCATAAAAAGTGTATTTCTTCCAAAGAAATGAATGCAACAAGATCATTGTAAATGTAAAGAAAAAGGTGGTACATACAACAGTCCATCTCATCAGATCCGTCCTGGCAGTCACTGGCAGCATCACAGCGCCATCGTTGCGGCACACACATCCCATCATCACACTGCCACTGATTCCTGCTGCAGTCTCCATGCACACCTGAGAATACATTAGCAGCCCTCATTCACTTTCAGTGTTTGACACAAACACATTATACGACCACTGAATGCTTCAAACTAAACAGAAGTTGTCAACAGGTAAAATGAAAATTTCCAAGGAGGCCAAATTAATTTTCTTTATAGCTTTTTCAGTGACGTAGCTCACATCTATGATTTCCTGATTGAACACTGAACACAATTATACCATTTGCAAGAGAAATGGTAAAAAAAAAAAAATTATAACATAAAATTGCAACAAAACGGCCCACAGAACCACCCGTTGCTCCATATTTTTTGTGGAACATGCGACACCTTGTGAGACAACATTCAAAAATTGCAATTGTTTAGTAACAATGTGAAAGTACTGACACTTTGGTTAATTTCAATGGTAGTTCTTCGCTAGTTAATTTTTTTTAATATAAAGATAATTGGAGTCCATGTTGTTTAAATGATGAATAGTGGGAGTATGACATGGTTTTATTTCGTTTACTTGCCACAGGATAGAAAACTGAAAATATTTTAGTTTAAAGGACAGAATGAATCCCAACAACTAAATTAATGTAACTTAACAGAAGAGAGTGTCTGAAACAAACAAACGAAAATAGTCACTTGTAAATCCAAACTAGGCGTAGACTAGGCTACTTTTAATATAACTTACTGGCCCATATCTCCTTTAGCTATATTTTAAAGTATCGGTAGCATATTAAAATAAATATCATTAAAATGGCCTAGCGCTTTTGTAAATTTATAATAAAGGCACGACACTGACCTGCCAGTAAGGCGAAGACTGCCGTGCAGCAGATTAAACGCCTCAGGTCCATCACACCTGTTTGAGCTACACGCGCCGGCGGGCCAATCACATACTTTATACGCGCTCAGTCATGACGTCATGCAGGCTTTTGTTTACCGATCATAGTTCGGAATTGAAAAAAAAAAAAAAATAAAATAAAAAAGTAAAAAATAAATACTTCGGAATTGAAAGGACTCACCAAATCTTAATTTATATGGTAAATAATATAATTGAAACAGTAAAATTGTGAAAAAGTATCTCAATTTAAAATAACTGTTTTAAATGTGAATAGGTTTTAAAATAAAATGTATTCGTGTGATCAAAGCTGAATTTTCAGCATCATTACTCCAGTCTTATGATCATACGATCCTTCAGAAATCATTCTAATATGCTGATCATCAATGAGCTACAGTTGTGTCGTCGGTCCTTGAGACGGTGGACTGTCAGGTGACCTGTTAAGTCCTTGTTTCAACACCCATGTAAGCATTCATCTGAATTTCTTCTGAAAGTTGTAGAAAGTTACAGTACAAATACACAAAGTTTAATTTGCATATTTTTGAAACATTCCTATTATAACGATAATGCCACAAAATGTATCTGAATAATACAGAATATAATAAAACATTTAAAGAAAACAAATTAAATAAAGTGTAAAAATGCATTGCATGTGAACAAAATACTTTTGATTCTGCACATTATTGAAAATTCTAACGTATTATAAACATTTCATCTATAATTTAATTTATAATAATAAATTTATAATAAAATATTAGTCTAGTCAACTAGCAACTAGCGAATGAATAATGGACAATGGGGACATCTAGTGATCATGAGCTGTTACTGCTCTGAGTACTTTTTGTTGTTACTGGAATAATATGTGCTTGGTCTTACACTAACATTAAATCACCTTTATGGAAAAAAAATATATAATTTACAAAAAATCTTGACATTTTGCTATAATGACTTCCATAACATCTGTACATATCTCGCATTTCCCCCATTTCTCGACGTTCCAGCGAACATGATCACACTGCTGAGGTCAGAAAAAACAATGGTGATTTTAAACGTGTGTGTGTGTTTGTGTGTAGTATGTGCGCGCTGCCTCGTAATCTTTATCATATGTGCTTTATTACCGCAAAGGAGCACAGGTGATTTATTGCACACGCTTATGGGATGTTTTAGTCCTATTTGTTACACACTGAAAGGCGGATTTGTTTTTAAAGTCTATGGGATGAACGCACACAACACATCCCAATCTCATAGTAATGTTAGAGGCAGTAACTCGTTTGCAATATCCCCCACCCCGGTCACTTCGAGTCTATTATGAAGTCAATAGATGGACAGCCACATTGACAAACCACTGCCTTCTACTAGAACCTAAACATCGCTGATTAGAAGACACACTCTGATTAGCCAATAAAAATCGCCTGTAGTTTGCATATTCATTTTTTATCAAGACCGACGGTTTTATAAGCCAATCGACGAGAAGCATATCCGTGACAGGCTTCTCGTTTATCCAATGAAAAGATGGAAGGCGGGGCTTAGGCAGAGCGGGGTTCGCGTTGCGTGCTTTAAGGTTAGGCTGCGCGCGCTGGAGGCCGTCGTCTGCTGCTGTAATTCGGCTACAGTGGGAAGGAAAATATTGTTTAAAGTCGACTTTTACCCACCCACGAATAATCCGTTTCGCTGGGATTTTACGCTACTCCTTCCTTACAGAGAAAGCTTCTCGCTAAAAGGGTGAGTTGAAGGGTAAATGTGAAGATAACGGCACGCGAACCCGTTTGAAAGCTGTTTATTTTTCTGTCAAAGAAAGTAGCGCAGGCTGCTAGCGGTTTCCACAAACTCAACGGCAACGAAAACTCACACACCTCTCATAAAAAAAAAAGCAAATGCCGATTTTTCGCTTTTGCACAGATGAAAGAGTTTTTAATGCAGAAATGAATGTAAGTGTATTGATCCTGGGGTTTTTATATCGCAGGCAGACCGGGACAGTGAGTCGATTAGCGGCCCATGCAGCCATAACAAGCCCGTGATACTCCACCAGATCACTGGAGAAGGTAAACAATGCGTTTATTTATTAATTATTAGTATTTTAAAACTTACTGATGAGTTAAAGACGAGCAGGGTCTGTTTAGCTCGATTGCTATGCATGATTAGAATGATACCAGCAGATGTAACCTAACTCACATGGTCATGTTTGTTTTGCCCATAAATATGTTTTAGCTTTGGCGTTTGTACACAAATACATTCATAAGAATATTGCGATATCACTTACTCTTGCCCCATTGGCCTCTGTGTATTGCTCACCTCAGGGTTTGGCTGTCAGAACTTACAGAGCTGTCTACCTAGACAACATGTTTGGGCTTCAAAGTTGCATTACTAAATGCTGCTGACAAGGAACGCGCCAAAACGTTAGAATCAAACATATCAACACGCCGAATATAGACAAAATTGAGTGTTCCATTTGAAACTTTCATAGCATCTGTGATGCCCAAATTTCGTGGACGTTCAATTAAAAACGTTCCGAACACTTCAATGATTTCCTGTTTACAGTGTTGATGCGTTTATTGTGTACTTTCCAATTTGGTCCATGACACCAGAAAACTTGAAACAAAAATCTATCTTTCAGCCGTGCCTATATCTCATAAGTACACTGAAAAAACGAAGTGAAATTCCATATGTGCAATTAACTTAACTTCATTTTTAATTTCGCAAGTGAAGTAAAATGAACAAAGAAAATAACGACTCTAACTTGGCCAGTAAACGTTTAAGTACTTTTTAAGTTTACTTCATAATACTTTGTACTCAAACAATATGACACTGAATTAAAACATGCTTTTAAAGTGTATGCTTTACTTAGAAACATCTAATAATACAATAGATATTGTGTAGATAGAAGTGACAAGGTTCCCACCCACAGGGACACAATACTTGTCACAACATTTGATGGATTGTTTTTGAATATGAATGTCATTTTTATATAGAAAATGAACTCCAGATGTCACAAAACAGCAGTTTTCTAAACATAACAGCAGAAGCAATGATAAAACGTGTGTAAAAACTGCTGGAAAACAGTGAGAAATCAACCTTATTAATTATTCCTGCTGCAGTGCATGATGGGAACACCATAACAGAAAGTTGAGTGGATTTTACTTAATTTTATAATGTTGATATTTCTGCTTTAATTTCTTCAAGCTTGAATTGAGAAATTTATTCTTGCCCTGAACTAAATTTTCATGTAGAAATTACGTTTGTTTTTTAGAAGTAATTATTTCACAACAGAATAATTTTTATCAATGTGTCTAATATATAACTCAAACCGTTCAAATAGGTGTGTTGCCCTAAAATCACTGGTATGCTATCTAATACATCTTTCAAATGCTCCTGAAATCTGCTTTTCGTGTTCAAATTGTGCCTCTGATGTGCTAACATGCTTCAAACTTTCTTAAAATCATTCAAACTTGCATGTGATTCCTTAAGCGCTGTCAAGCTCGACTGTTCACTAAGTGGCCGTTCACTTTTGGACTTTCGCTTTGTTGTACAATCTTGTACCTCTGTACACATGAATTATGTTACAAATCTGAGTAAAGGGCGTGCATTTTGTTCCTAGATGAATGTTATAAGCAACTCAAACTCGCAGCATATGCAGAGACTGAGTTTATAACATGTGAATGATGACAGCTGCATTTACTGTGAACAGAGCCGCTCTGAAACTTACACACATGTGAATAAAGCGCATGTATTAATTGAATTGCAGCCTCTGTTAATTCACAATAGCACTATGCTGTAGTATGTTTAAAAAAGGGGTTAAAACAGTCTAATATAATAATGCGGTTCATTCTCATCCGTGGAATGCAATCGAAGATTTTAATTTATTTTTTAAATCGAGTAGCCCACTCTAATTTAACCGAGGAATCGTGACAGCCCTAGTTACTGTTCATAGAAGCAAGACAATTAGGAGGATTAGTTTGGGTTTGAGTTCTGTTACGTTAGCACACGAAAAACTCTAGCATCTGAGAAGTCCATTAGATCATTAAATCTTTTCTGATGGCATCCGTTCTCAAAGTCAAATGCATTTGTTGAAGTAGCATTTCAAGGTGTTTTCTCATTGCCCGTCATTTCCCTTCTCACCAGAGTAAGGGTATGTTGAAAAAACCTAACTGAATGATCAAGATGGTTTACTTCCACTTCCCCATCTTCACAGCCTGGCATTATTCGCCTGGTTTCTGTGCAGATTTCCTTCAGAAACTCTTTTCAAATGAAGCTCTAAACCCTTTTAAATGAAAGGCTAGCTTGTCTTTTGCAGTTTTTTTCTTGTGGAAAAATATTGTTGTCAATGAAATCTCTCATTTGCTAACTAGGGTTGAGGCACTACTGAAATCTGAGTCTCTGAGACCAATACAAGAGAAATTCCATGGTTCTTGGTACCACAAGAAGCGCCAACTGTATTGAACACACTCCTTGATTTAAAGCTGATGATGTGTGAGTTCTGCTCTAGTGCTAGTGTCCCCAAACCAAATTGCAAAAATTACCAGTATGTTTTAAGTATCTCAAGCAAGCACTCACCAGTCCACCATTGGTCAACAAACAGATAGTCCAGACTCAATGGCATCGGCATAAGAAGTGGCTTCTTTGGTGTCTCTGTATATTTAATTACAATAAGAGAACGTTTTTACTCAGTTAAGTCAGTATGAAAAAAAAAGTAAATTATTTAATAGTTCTATTCGGCAAGGAAACGTGTGACACCGTTTTAATTTCAAATGAATGCTGTTCTTTTGAACTTTCTATTCATCAATGAATCCTGAAAGAATATCACGGGTTCCAAAATATTAATCGACAGTTTTCAGCATTGAAATGTTTCCTGAGCATCAAATTATCATATTATACTGATTTCTGAAGGATCGTATGACGCTGAATAGTGGAGTAATGATGCTGACAATTCATGTTTGATCACAGGAATAAATTACAAATTACAATTACATAAAATACATCATGATTTTCAAATAATTATTGGGTAATAAAGCCTCAGAAGTGAGTGAGCAATAATTCTAATACAGAAATTGATTAACAAATAATAACGATAAAAAGCAATACAACAAAAGTGCAATTGAATTAAGTCTTTAGTTTGCAATTGTAATCAGGGTAAGAAACTGGATGTTATCTAGTCTCATCCCTGAAGTTTGGATTTTACAGAGTCTGTCATCGGCTGTTCTTGATTTTTGCTTCTCTCCACTCAGGTGACCCCCTCGCCCCCCTTTCCTCTCCCATTTCCTTAGCTTCTGTCCCCTGCCCCCTCATAATCAGCCCAGGGACCCTCTTCCTAATAGCCAGTTAGGAACGTTGGGTCTGTTCCTCCCCATTCTCCTAGCCTCCATCTGTCTCTCTAACTCTGACCGCTCATCGGACTCCCCAAAAACATGTCCTCCATCTTGCCTTTCACTCCACCTGTGGTGAAGCGTCTGCTGGGCTGGAAGAAGTCGGCCAGTGGTTCGAGCGGAGCGGGAGGGGGTGGAGAGCAGAACGGCCAGGAGGAGAAATGGTGCGAGAAGGCCGTCAAAAGCCTGGTGAAGAAGCTGAAGAAGACGGGCCAGCTGGATGAGCTGGAGAAAGCCATCACCACACAGAACCTTAACACCAAGTGTGTTACCATCCCCAGGTACGTCTACATCAAAAGCTACTCGCATTCCTGCTTTTAGATTAGTCCCGTATCAAGCGCTTCAAGCTTATATAATAAAAAGAGAAACTTGGTGTCATTTATTCATCTCCTTGTCATTTGAAAAAGTATGCTGTAATTTAATAATCAGTTCATGTAGGTTTGAAGCGACATGAGGCCGAATAAATGCTTTTAGTTTTAGTATCCCTTTAATACGGTTAGAGTTGCAAACCCGTGATTGTAATAGAAAACGTTTTGTTAGTTGAGTCTTCATCTTATTGTAAAGCCTTAAAACCAAAGCGTTATCCTCACTAATGATTTGTAAATGCTTTTATTTAAGTTTAGATGTAACCTTAGCCATATCATTGCACATGTTGCTTCGTGAGTGAAGGTGAAGGTGTGACGCCGAGTTGCGTCTACCGTTGTAAAATATCAGCTTTACTCTCCTTTGTTTCTTTAAATGATTTCTGCTCCATTTGTCTCGACTTGAGTTAAGGTCATTCTGTGCAGCTCCACGTCACCTCCATTCTGAGCTCACGAAGGCTTCTCATGCTGTGTGAATGTCTGCTTTATCAACCATCAGGCTGCTTTTATTCCATTCATCATGACAAATGGTGAAATATCAGCGTTGCTATTTTAGGGAAATGCTAAGAGGAGAGGATGAGTTGTGTGTCCGAGCCACAACATATCAATAGTCTGAAACCGAGACGTTACAGATACACAAAGGTCAGGTGATGTCTGATACATTACATCTGTTTTCAGCACTTTGGTGATATTTGAGAGAAATATAGAAATGGATTCAGTTCTTTTGTTAATGCAATATGCATTATGGAAGAATTTGTTGAAACAAGCTTCACATTTTTACTTTTAAATACTAAACACAATATATATATATATATATATATATATATATACACACACACACACACACACACACACACACACAGTAGTCAACATTTGAAGTGGATCAAAACCTTTCATCAAAGTTATACATACATTTTACAACAACTTTGAACTGTGTTTGATCCACTTCAAATGTTGACTTGTATGTACACACATCTAAAGGATTATTAGGAACACCTGTTCAATTTATCATTAATGCAATTATCTAATCAACCAATCACATGGCAGTTGCTTCAATGCATTTAGCAGTGTGGTCCTGGTCAAGACAATCTCCTGAACTCCAAACTGAATGTCAGAATGGGAAAGAAAGGTGATTTAAGCGATTTTGAGAGTGGCATGGTTGTTGGTGCCAGACGGGCCGGTCTGAGTATTTCACAATCTGCTCAGTTACTGGGATTTTCACGCACAACCATTTCTAGGGTTTACAAAGAATGGTGTGAAAAGGGAAAAACATCCAGTATGCGGCAGTCCTGTGGACGAAAATTTCTTGTTGATGCTAGAGGTCAGAGGAGAATGAGCAGATAGAAACTGATAGAAGAGCAACTTTGACTGAAATAACCACTCGTTACAACCGAGGTATGCAACCAAGCATCTGTGAAGCCACAACACGCACAACCAAAGAGGCTACAATTTGCAAGAGCTCACCAAAATTGGACAGTTGGAGATGGAAAAATGTTGACTGGTCTGAGTCTCGATTTCTGTTGTGACATTCAGATGACAGAGTCAGAATGTGGCGTAAACAGAATGAGAACATGGATCCATCATGCCTTGCTAGCACTGTGCAGGCTGGTGCTGGTGGCTACTTCCAGCAGGATAACGCACCATGTCACAATGCTCGAAACCTTTCAAATTGGTTTCTTGGACATGACAATGAGTTCACAGTACTAAAAAATGTCCCCCCCCAGTCACCAGATCTCAACCCAATAGAGCATCTTTGGGATGTGGTAGAATGGGAGCTTCGTGCCCTGGATGTGAATCCCATAAATCTCCATCAACTGCAAGATGCTATCCTATCAATATGGGCCAACATTTCTAAAGAATGCTTTCAGCACCTTGTTGAATCAATGCCACGTAGAATTAAGGCTGTTCTGAAGGCGAAAGGGGGTCAAACACCGTATTAGTATGGCGTTCCTAGTAATCCTTTAGGTGAGTGTAAATATAAGAATTATATCATTTAAAATGATTTAATTTGCAACCTTAAAGCATCCATAATGTTTTACTTTAGATCAACTCAAGAATGAAAATGTACGTGATAAAAAAAAAAAAAAAAAAACTGGGAGCGATAATGGAAATCTGAATAGTTCCAGTTAAAAAGGTTTCAATTTTTTTTTTTAATAAATCAAGTGTAAAACAGTCGTTAAGCTCGGCAGTTGGTCAGTGCAAGACCACTATATCCACGATAGCTGTTTCCATCCACATTTATAAAATGCTGGATGGAAACTCCAAGATGTGCCTAAATAAAAAAAAGTACATAAACTTTGTGTCCTTAAGGCGATGCTGAAAACTGATAAGAAAACGTGCAAAATAAACCACAATGGAAACACAAATTTCTCAGCGCATCAAAAAAAGACACGTGACTTCCCGATGGGAACGCATCACTGGAATAAACTCGTTGAGATGTTTTGTTCTTTTTGAAATTCCTTAGCCTCGTCTTACACAACTGTGTTCCCAAAACAGAAGCCATCTGCCCCCGAAATCAAGATAACGCGACAGTGTTTATTACGCTTCACCTGTGTGCATGTCATTTGTTATTTACGAATAAAAGACCCACAGTGGCTTCTCCTTCTGATGTAACTTCCATTTGTTCTCCATGAATGGAAACAGTGTGATGTTCGCAAATGTTTAATGCGATATATACATTTTCGGGAATAAGCTAGATTCACAACTTTGAATGGAAAACAGCTTTTGTTGCTTAATTTTATAACGCCAACATGCTATAAACTGTCGACTTGTAAGAAACACCGCAGCCTGTTTTAGTATTTAGATTCGCTAGCACTTGTGTAAATGTTTAGCCAAGGTTCTTGTTCTTTGCATTCTAATCTAGTTTAATTTCGGTGTAAGATGCTGAACAAACTTGAAAAGGGCATAATTGCATGAAAGCGGCTTTAAACTTTTCCTGGGTTAAATAAATTAAAAAGGTGTTGTCGAAACCGATAACACAAGCGGCTTGTAATGGCAAAAAGTCATTTGTCCTTGATTTATTTCTATTGAATCCTTTTTGAATTAATTCTAAACTTCCCAAATCCAGAGTTTTATAAGCGTGTAATATAACAAACGCAGGCCTGAATGCGTATCTCCCTCTTTTTATTGAAAAATTGTGCAATGGTTATTGTGAAAATGCTCTGTGACTTGGCACTGTGCCTTAATACTTGATCGGGTTCACTCAGCAAAACCACTTAAGACTGTATAGGTTATAATTAATGCAGGTTAAATCTATCCTCCCTCCAGCTGAAATGTGTACAAGTGAAAATTAAAATGATGGCTTTTCTCTGCTCAGATGCAGAGCCCTGGTCAGGCCTTCAGAAATGCTTCCCAAGTCATCCAAAGGGCTTTGTCTTCCCTTGAGAGTGGATTGAAAGGGTGGGAAACTTTGCTTCCAGCATGTTTTCTGCTGCTAATCTGTTCTCTAACCTTGGAGGCTTGTGGGAACGTTTGGATCAGTCATTGTGTCCGCCGGTTGTCGTGTTTGGTAATGGTAACGTCAAAAGCCTCCGCAACTGTCCTTTCCAGCCTCCCTCACATACCTGTGAACAAAAGACTCATCTAGAGTGTTCTTCATTTATGAAAGGGCATAATGGCTTGTAGATGAAATGAAGATTGATTTCAGATGTGTGCCGTTCATCACATCCAGTGTTTTTTTTTTTTCTGTCTCGAGTGCTTTTCGTATCATGATTCACCCAGGAAAGTTGTGTAGAAATGATCATATTTATGAGATGAGCTTCTGCAAATGGCACACTATAAAAGAAGCTGGCATTAAATGATTTTCCACACAAAAGTTCTTGTTCCAAAACCTTCTAGTCAACTATTTCCAAATTAAATTTGTTAAAGCAACACTGTGTAACTCTTAGTTTATTCTTAGCTAAAAACACTTCGTTCTTTCAAAATTATGTGCTCATTAATGTATTTACTTTGTTCAAGTAATAAAGTATTCTCACGAGTGTATAATATGCCATTGAAAATGCATATGGGTAAGGGGTTCTAATGTCGGTCGCCATGTTGCCCCTCCATCTTGAAAGTATATTAGCCAAAAAGGGACAGACCCGTTAATTCAAGCTTCGCCTTTCGCGTTTACGTTTGAGTTAACACTCATGGACGAGGTCGAACTGGAAGCCATGTTAATCTTGGACTACATTGGCCACCGTAGGAGTTAAAACGAAATCGGAATTGAGAGGAACAGAAACTAATTCAATGGATGGTCATATACATTTTCACTGCTAGATGGGGGTAAAAATCACACAGTGTAGCTTTAAAGTATTTTGATGATTGAAATGAATTTTTATCTTTGTGGTGGAGTATAATTTTAATCCATTCTACAGATTTTCGAACAAATTAATATACAGTTTAGTATCACACAAAACCACTTACAAAATGTGCATATCTTTTGTATTTGCTCTATTAAATTTTATTTATTTTTGGCAGCTTGAGAATAGTACATCCACAAAGCTTCTTTGTCTAGAAGTGAAGCACAAACATCACTTAAACGCATGTTACGATAAGCTGAATATCTGCTGTATTGTAGCGTACTAAACAGACTAATGTTTTCAAAGTTTAAATGGTTGCCAGGGAATGATTTGTCATGTGCTTTTAAAATGCAACTATTAAACCACCCTGTTGCCCTCCTTAAGGATTTTTATCTAGTTGTCAAGTGCATTATTCAGAACTGATTGAGCTGACAATCTCGAAAAAAAAAGTCAGGAGATGATTTGTTCTTATGTCGTTTCAATAGTTGCTTGGAAAATCAATCTTGGACTTTTCCAAACAGATCCAGCTGTGTGCCATGTGTTTAATTTGCTCAAAACAAAATGTTCCTGCATGCGTACATGCAAAACTAAACAATACGAACAAGCGTTGAATTTTAGCTGATGTTTAGTCCTTTTTCA